CTGCTCTACTTCTAAAAGTGCAAAATCCCAATGTCGACGCTCGATTGTTTTTATGGTGGCTCTGCCAATTCTCGGGCATTAGACTGACATCTGTCATATCCGAATTGAGACAATTCATGGCTTCTCTGAGGTAGAATCTGGCTTTTATTTTAGATTTATATAAAACAACTCGATTTCGTATACCAGTTAGATTTTTGTAATATCTCTGGTATTTTTGCGGGACCACCTTGCCAAACCGTAGCTTTTCCAGATGTCGTCTGCTGCGGTTTGGGGTGTCTGGTGTGGTTTGCGGCTATATATGGACAGTTTCGGCGGTTGGATTCGAAACGTGGGTGATAATTTCGATTCAAAACATGGGTGAAAATTTATATCGCAACATCACAGGAATGGTTAGCTAGTCGCATCAGCAACTGCTTTTGATTGGGTTTTCGGCGCGTAGGAGTTCTTCAAACTGCTTCGTAGGTTAGATTTAATTGAGTAAAATTTGAAATACACTAGAGACTATAACAATTTTTTATGTATAGTGTGGGCGAAATTCGACACATCTAGAGGTTTCTCGTATTTCCGGAATAGGTTGAAATAAAAATGTCATGGGCCATTTTTCATTTTTCGAATATTTTTTTTTATTTGTGAATTTTTTTAATTTAATGAAAAGAATATTTTTTTTTAGTTTCTTTTTAATATAATAATTTTTTGTATAATCCGGACTTAAATATTTATTTCCCTACATATTTTTCGAATTTTGAAATCTATGTAAAATTTCCTTCCAAATGATGCACCATATATTATACAAAAAAAAAATATAAAAAAATGTTCTGTGAATGACCCTGTACAACTATAGTAGCTATAATTTCTAACATGTATTCAATAAATGTGATAGGTATTCTCTTTCGCTACATGAGAGACACAATTTTAAAATAGATGTGCAAAATTGTGCAACGTAAGTTTAAAAAATAACCGAACTTCTAAACTTTATTATTAATTTTATACTAGTCCTTGTCTTCGTCAAAGTACTCCCCTTTCCTATTCACACTCTTTTTTCAGCGGTATTTCCATTTCACGAAGCAGTCCTTCATTTGAAATGGCCTTTAAAGTCTGTGACGAATTTGCTTTGATGTCACCAATAGTCTAAAAGCAGAGTCCTTTCAGAACTGATTTTAATTTCAGAAATAAGGAAAAACGCAAGTAGTCAGATCTAGCGAGTAAAGTGTGCGAGGGAGGATAGTAATCTGATGTTTTGTACAAAACAGAGGAATTGACAAAGCTGAGCGTACGAGCGCATTGCCATGGTGCATGAGCCAAGAGTTGTCTCGTCACAACTCTGATCTCTTTTTGCGGATTTTTTCACGTAACCATTGTAAATCGCCTTGATAGTACGGAAGGTTCACTGTTTCATCTTGAGGCAAGAATTCAAAATGCATAATTAAAGTAAAAAAAAAGCAGTTTGACACTGGATCGGGACTGACGTGCTTTCTTGGAGCGTGGAGACCTAACCTAACCCATTGTGATGATTGAACTTTTGTCTCAATGTCGTAGCCGTAAACCCAGCTTTTCTCTCCCGTTGTGATCCTTTGAATGAATGTTTCATCGTCATTGAATTGTTCAAGGAGTTGCCGACAAATGTCTACACGATTTTTTTTCTGTTGTTCAGTCATCAAACGAGGAACAAATGTTTCTGTAACTCGATGCATGTTCAATTCTTCAGTAAAAATTTCATGGCATGACCCAATTGAGATGCTAACCTATTCCGCAATGTCTCCGACATTCAATCGGCGATTTGTACGCACCAGATCTTTGACTTTCTGAACGTGGGAGTCGTATTCAATTCACGTTTAAATCGTGAACACCTTTCGTAATGTTGCGTATGACCCAGAACATCATCTCCATAAGCTTGCTTCAAAAGTTGAAACATTTCCATAACAGTTTTTCCCAGTTTCACGCAAAAATCACGTTACATCGTTGTTCCCGAAAATCGCACTTAAACACGTCGCGTTCAAATAACAATATCACGAAAACTAAATGAGATATCAACAATCTAACGCAATGTTACCGCATATCACTAAATATCTCCATTAGCGTGCAATTATAAAAATCGAGTTATTTTCTGAATAGCCCTAGAAGGTATGTCCAAAACCACGAGGATGGTACATGTTGTATATAAAATTTGTTAACTTTGGTGGCAATTTGACGGACCTTTGTGACAACCTACATAACGTTTTTACTTATTATTTTTTAAGTATTACTTTTGATCATTTACCTACACTCATTGTAAGTAAGGTATGTGGTAGTTATTGTTTTCAAAGTTTATTAGAGTTTTACGTCATTAATTTTCTCATTGAAATATCGTTATTTAGTTGTTGTACTTGAATATGAAGCTGATTAGAAAATTACTCAAATAATGTTACAATGTAAAGTTTTCCCATAGTAATAATGACATCACTTTACACCAACAGGAAATTCAATCATGACGCATATTTTCATGTTTTAAGGATTTCTTAAAGTGGCTAAATTTAATATTGGCCTTCATTTATAATCATCTTATAGCAGTTAATATGGAGATCTTGGAAATATTTGATATTTTGTATGTACAGGCTGGTCCATTTTCGATGGGATTTCAGGGTATCTCAGAAACTACTAAAGATATGATAAATCTGACACCACGTTCTCGAGCTCGATTTTCATGGCAAACTCGACTGTCAAATCAGAAATTTGCTATCTTCATTTGTTTCTGAGTTACAGGGCGTTTCTCGTTATTGTGACACTTTTGAACATGTCTGTATCTCAGCTGTTAAATAAGTTAGAGTTAAAGTGAAAACTGCTCAAGACTAATTCTTTGGCGTAGAATTGAATGCCGGTATTAGATTTTTAGTAGGTCTTAAGATTCCGGAGTTATGACCCAAAGTTATAATTTTTTAAATGGAAATCGTAGCTGGTTATGACCTAAAAAAATGGAGATTTTTTTTTGCTTTTCAGCAATATACCACATGCTATAGTTATTTTTCCAAACACAGAAGATACGGGGTGTTTTATATATAAATTCGATCCTTTTTTACATTTTAATATGGCTGGCTATGAAAATACATACAAAACTATAATTCTTACTTTTACAAAACTCATATCTGTTGTAAAAATATGACGTTTATTTAAAATATATATTACAGATAAGAAAAGACAGAGTTTTCAAATTTTTATTCCACTTCAACTGAAGTTACAATATTAAACGTAAATTAAACAATAGTAAGTACCTACATCAATAAAAACTTTCAAAAATGATAGCTAAATGTTCAAATTGCCGTCCCTCAACTGTCACACATTTCACGCATCTTCTGGCAACGCTTCGGGTAGCATTCATTAAATGTATAGGTATTTGAAATATTATTAAAAGGAATTTTAAATATAATGTCTTTTAGAAAACCTCAAAGGAAAAAGTCCAACGGACTCAAATCAGGTAACCTAGCTGGCCATCTGATCGGTCCGTTTGTTCCTATCCACCTATCTCCTAAAATTTCGTTAGTATTATATTATCACACGAGTATATGTTGTGCATTTAAAATAAATGTCATATTTTACAACAGATATGACTTTTGTAAAAGTAAGAATTATAATTTTATCTGTATTTTCATAGCCGGTCATATTAAAAGGGAAAAAAATATATAATTTATATATAAAACACTCCGTATCTTCCGTGTTTGTAGAAATAACTAACATGTGATATATTGCTGAAAAGCGGAAAAAAATCTCCATTTTTTTAGGTCGTAACCAGCTAGGATTTCCATTTAAAAAATTATAACTGTGGGTCATAACTCTGAAATCTTAAGATCTACTAAAAATCTAATATCGGCATTCAATTCTACGCCAAAGAATTAGTCTTGAGCAGTTTTTACTTTAACTCTAACTTATTTAACAGCCGAGATACAGACATGTTAAAAAGTGTCACAATAACGAGAAACGCCCTGTAACTCAGAAACAAATGAAGATAGCAAATTTCCGATCTGACAGNTAACAGCCGAGATACAGACATGTTAAAAAGTGTCACAATAAATTTCTGATCTGACAGTCGAGTTTGCCATGAAAATCGAGCTCGAGAACGTGGTGTCAGATTTATTATATCTTTAGTAGTTTCTGAAATACCCTGAATTCCCATCGAAAATGGACCAACCTGTACAATAATGAAAAAGAAATGTTCCTTAATAATAATAATAAAATTTTATTTGCCCATAATATAAAAAATTATAAAGTGAGGGTATCACAAAAATCTTAATTTAGACAAAAAGGAAGTACGCTCAGTACACCACAAGTGGATTCCTGATCTTTCGCGCATCCTAGAAGCATGTGGATATTCTAACATAGTAAAAATTATATACACACATATACATACACATGTAATATAAAATATATCTTCAATTACACGATCAACATAGTCTTTCAGAAATGCTGTTTCAAATTAATAAAAAAAATTACAATTTCCGAAAAACTAATCGAAAGTTTTTAAAAAGAAAACGTGATTATATAGAAAATGAAAACATCCTGTAAATGAAGTACCATTTAACTTACCTTCCCAATGTTTTGGGACAGAGATTGCTGGGGATGAGGATGTACATGTAGTAACATCACATTTTATCATTTCATCCATAAAAATGTGTCAACTCACAATAAAATTTCCCCTGTCCTGGCGATTTTTTAAAAAGTCCTTTTCGAGAAAAAAGTTTTTTTATCTATACGGTATTTTCTTATTTTAACAGGTATATTTTAACATATCCATTATACCCTGTATTATTTTATCACTTTTATCTTAATTATTTATACTTATAATTAATTCCTGAATAATAATGTAACAATTCACATATTTAAAATAATTTTTTTGACGTCCAAGCAATTTTCCAAGAGCTTGTGGGAAGCAATTGCAGCTGGTATATCAAAGCATTAATTATTCCTTAATCATCCCCAAATAAACCGTAACTGTTAGTGAAGTTTAATTGTTCAAAGCCTTGTAACGGAAGTTATTACTTCTCCAGAGAGAAAAATTAGTTTGAAGAAGGACTCCCTGGAGCGCAAGCGGCGAAGCTCGAGGACGAAGATGGAAACAAAAGTGGACGAAGATACGCAATTTGGATTTGAAAACCGTGCCTTTATGTCCCAACATGTATTTTTAGATAACAAGTTTGAGGCAGAGCCCGCCCCTCGTTACTGCAGTTTAGCCCAATTTGTTGAAGGTAGGCTCATTGTGCCATCCATAATACAATAAAAACCCTCGTTTTCTGTTTTAATTTTACATCGCGCTCGTTTTTATCCCCAACAAAAAATTCATTCAAATAATTTTGACACGGGATCACAACTCTGGAAAGGGATTATTAAATTTTACAGGCAAAACGATAAACCGCCTAATCCCACAGGTAATGTTATTATATTTACAACAATAAAACTCTTAAATTGACATGGGCTTTAATAACAATTATTTTTCATTATTTTTCTGGGAATCCAATTTGCTGAGGGTAATTTAAAGTAAAATTAATAATTGAATTATACACAAACTTTTTAAATTCCTACATCTACTTTCAATAATATCGAATAGATGAACATGTGTGAAAATAACCTATTACATCAAGTTAACCGGTGTTTCAAAAAACTTTACGATTTATACTTACACAGGGTGTTTTCTAAGTCACAACTTCAGGGGTAGTTCTGTTTAGAGTTAAAATGAAGCAGATTTAGACTTTAGAAAACCTCCAATTTGAGCTTTAGGATCTCAATCAAGGGATTCTAAGTGGCAGTATCTCTCAGAATCAAGATCTCTGGTTTACATACAAGGTACGTTCCAAAGTAAACAGGCATCTACATGCGTTGGAAAGGTGAATCCTTCACCCATGGAGACTATTTCACCGATGACATTTGGAGAAATAGAAGCGAAGTTATTGCGTCTGAAATGACAGTATGTTTGTGTCATCAATAGAAAAATGAGCTTCGAACAAAGAGCTAATAAGTATTAAGTTCTGTTTTAAACTTGGTAAAACTTTTACCGAAACGTTTCAATTGATGAACCAAGTTTATGGTGATGATTATTGTATCACGAGTGGTATATGCGGATTAAACACTGTCGTGAGGACATAAATGATGAGCAACATGTTAGTCAATCGAAATCCGTGACCATGAAAATGCACGTGAATTCATCAAAGATCAGCCAAAATCTTCATTGAAATTTATGGAATTGGAATTGAGCATCTCAAAAACATCAGTTTATCGCATTTTGATCGAACATTTATGGAGCTACCGAAAAGTGCGTACACCGTTTGTTCCGCACAAGTTGACAGACGACCAAAAATTACTCAGAATTGAACATTCGAAGGACATTATCAAGGACAAAAAGGACAAAAACTTTCTTTACAACATTGTGACTGGTGTTTTCAGTATAATCCAGAAACCAAGTGCCAAAGTGGAAGGCGTCAGAGGAGCCAAAACCCAAAAAAACTCGTTAGAAGAAGTCAAAAGTGAAGACAATGTTGATTTGCTTTTACGATTCCAAAGGCTTTGTCCACGAAGAGTTCGTTCTACCGCCACCGGTCCAAAGAAGCGTTTGGTGCATCATATTTGTAGTATTCGGCCAGAATATCGCGAAGAAGGAAGTTGGTGTTTGTTGCACGATAATGCGCCACCTCATGGATCGACACTTGTGACCGATTTTTTAACTAAAAATCGCATTTTACTCTCCGTATTTGCCTGATTTGGTATCATGCGACTTTTACCTTTTCGGAAAAATGTATTTGCCGAAGAAGGGAAACGTTTTGTGGACGTAGAAACTATCGAAAAGGTTTGTACCGCCATTCTGAAGCATATCCCAACTGACGATCTAAAACACTCATTCGACATGCTTTTAGACCATGAAAATCACTGTATTTAGTCGGAAGGAGATTATTTTAAATAAAATAAATCGGTTTTGCTAAAAACAATGTTTACTGTAGGTTTACTTTGGAACGCACCTTATATAACTAATATATGTTCAGTAAATGATACATAACGTGTAATTCAAAGATTTTAAATAGATGCTACACTTTTTTAAACATCCATATCCAAACTTCCTTTATCATTTTAAACGAATTTTATATTTAAGAATTTTTTATATAATTAAGTTGTTCAAGGAATTAGTGAAGAAATAGTCACAATAATTCGCAATATTTGAGTTATTCAATAAATTGGTCAATTTATTGGTCAAATCTAAGGTTACCAACTTTTAAAATAAAACTCAATAATAGCAACAAAAAACCACCAACCACGATAGACTTGCAACTGCTTTAAATATATCTATTTTAAAAATTGCACTTAGGTAATTGGTAACGCATTTGCGGCAAATTCATTCTAGCAAACTTTAGGCACGTACCTTTCTAGAGGTTCCAACGACAAAATACTATGTGTCCAAGAAATATTAAAACAAACACATAACATAAATAATTGATACCTAGCGTCATAAAACTCTCACGAACTTTTATAAACCTTTTATTGTCTGTTCTTTTTCTGAATTTATCTAAACTCTTGGTTTACCTGGTTATCAGATTATTTATTTTTCTTTAAAATCTAATTTCGCTAATGCTGAATAATTATGACTGTCTCACTAATTGTGTTATAACAAATGTCACGTTTTGATTAATTTTTATGGTTAACAAAAAATCACACATTGTTAAGGAAACTAAATTGAATTTGGAAATATTAAAGAAAATATGGCAGTTTTTGAAATATTCTTGTCACGTAACATTCGTGACAATAGTCATGTCAAAACACTTTTTCGATTTTGTATTTCCAAAAGATAAAATCGCTCGTTATGTTTATACTATCTTCGATCAAGAAATATACATTACACTCCTGATTTTATCAACATCATGCTAGTAATTCCGCGTTTCACTTGTCAGTGCTGTGGATATGAAGGGTCAGAACCTTTCGTGAAGCGTAGCTTCTACGTCTATGACTTTTTAACAAATACTGGCATCCTTTGTTAAAGAGACATATTTACGAAAAAAAATAAATTTTGAAATACTTTGAATTATAATTGAATACTCTATTTTTTCGCCACAGAAACTACAGTTTATAATTAAAATTAATAACAAACATAAATATAAGTAGTCTTAAGACGGTTATTAGCACGAATAAATTAGTAAAAAATAGAAATCGGCTAATCAGATGGATAACCGTAATATTTTATTTACAGCTTTCACAAGTTTATTATTTTCTTTTAACTTTATTCTTGCCATAATAATGTTAAACTATATTTACATATTTTTTATATTTATTTGTTTTTTTATTATATATCAACCTCATTCTGATTTAATTTTTCTGTACGTTAACCTATTAATTAAAATTCTTTTAAAAAATTGTTGTTTCTATTAAGAATAAAAAAATAGAATTCAATTCAAAAGATACTGATTACTTTTCAAAAAGTTAAATATTAGACATAGAAGTATAGCCAATAGGTAAATAAATTTTACCTACTATAAAGTTTGGAATGCTATCAACATCAAAAGTCATTTAATTTTTTCAGTTTCTTCCAAACCCTAATGAAGTCACTTTCTGAAGTAGAGTTGATATATACGAGGTCTGTTCAGAAAATAACCGAACTTTTTAAATTACCCGCTAATGGAGATATTTAGTGATATGCGGTTGGCAGCATTGTGTCGCACATAACCTCCTCTGTAACCACATATTCTTGGATTGTTGATAGGTATTTCATTTAATTTTTGTGATATTGTTTTTGAGTGTTTAAGTAGATATTAGTGACAATTTTTGAAATGTGTAATTTTCTAGAACGATGAATTGTCAAATTTCGCGTGAAACTGGGAAAAACTTTCAAGGAAACGTTTCAGATTTTAAAACAAGATTACGGAGATGATGCTCTGGATCGTACGCAATATTATGAATGGTTTTCATGATTTATAAATGGTCGTCAGTCAGTTGAAGATGATCCTCGACCAGAATGGCCTTCGACTTCAACTAATGACTCTCACGTTCAGAAAGTCAAAGATCTGGTGCGTGCAAACCGCTGATTGACTGTCAGAGAAGTCGCAGAAGAGGTTAATATGTCAATTTGGTCATGCCACGAAATTTTGACTGAAAAATTGCAGCAGAATTTGTTCCTCGCTTGATGACCGAACAACAGAAAGAAAATCGTGTGATGTTTGTCAGCAACTCCTTGAACAATCCAATGATGATGAAACATTAATTAATTAAAGGATTTTAACGGGAGACGAAAGCTGTGTTTACGGCTACGACATTGGGATAAAATTTGCAGCATCACAATGGATTTGGCAAAGGATCTCCACGTTGCAAGAAAGCACGTGAATATCGATCCAATATCAGAGTGATGCTCACAGTTCTTTCGACTTTAATTGAATTGTGCATTTGGAATTCTTGCCTTAAAATAAAACAGTAAACCGCGTGTACTATCAAGACATTTTACAATGGTTACGTCCGTTAAAAAGAAACCAAACTTGTGGTGAGACAACTCATGGTTCTTACACCGTGATCATGCATCCGCACAGTCAGCTTTGTCAATTCGTCAGTTTTGTGCCAAAAATCAAACTCGCCCTCACCCTCTTTACTTGCCAGTTCTGGCTCCTAGCGATTTTTCCTTATTTCCGAAATTAAAATTAGTGCTGAAATGGCGCCGTTTTCAGGCTGTTAATAAAATCAAAGCAAATTCGTCAAAGACTTTAAGGTGACCATATCCTTGGCCAAGAAATAGTCAAATTTCTGGCGTTTTTAGGTACTGAAATCTTGAAAAGTCAAACGTGTAGAACGTAAGTAAGCACAAAAATAAAATCCTTGATCTGTTTATTCATTGTTACTATTTAAATTTACTCAAATAAAATAATAACTAAAAAAAAGCGTTTGTAACACATGCGTTTGCTATTATCCTAACTCCACATTTTAACAATTATTTTCACGTACTTATAAATAAAAGTAAACAATTTTATATGTAGGACTAAGCAAATAAATGTTATAAAAATATTTACATGTGAAGTTATATATAAAAAAGTTAGTATTTTCGTAGATTTCAGTACCTAAAACCTTGATGGTTTGATCGTTTTTTGCACCTGTTTATTCGTTTTACTGCGGCGTCTTTGAAAATACTCAGATGGCATGACATAACGTTCCTATTGTTTGATAAGCTTTAAATTATTTAGTTATTAAATGTTTGAAATTATTTGCCTTTGTGGAAAACACTATTAAAAGAATACGGCGCCCTTAAGGGCCATTTTAAGGCCATTTCAATAGAAGCTATCGATTACTGCTTCTCGAAATGGAAACATCACTGGGAAAAGTGTTTAAATAGTGAAGGGGAGTACTTTGAAGGAGACAAGGACCAATAATGTGTAAAATTAAATAAAAAAATTAAAATAAAAGTCAGTTATTTTCTGAATAGACCTCGTATATAAACACTGTTTATCAAATCATTTAAAGAAATATTCATTTGAAAGTAAGTGTACATTCGAAAAGAAATTGGAGAAAACCATTAACTATGTCATGGGGATTGTTAGAGTTAGCTACTGTAAAGATTGTTCTAATGCATGATATCAGGTACTCTAAAAAAGTCTTGAAACTTGAAGGAATGTACAGAATTTATTAAGATTTATTGCTAAATTGTTTTTAAGATCTTGGATATAAATTGAATAAGACGTTCTTATTTGAATTTTTATTAAATATCTTAAATTTTATATAATTTTTATATATCAAGCTTGTTCTACTCGTACGTATATTGTTTGTTTGGAATTGGAATGTGCACTACTTAGAAGTATGACAAGTCCAGTCTACCTTCTAGAAGCATTTCATACAGTAAGTGTAAAGCTTGAGCTTGAAGTATATGTTTTGCAGATAAAGACGATTATTTCATGGGGGAATATAAAATATCATTAGTTACATGCTCGCGGAAAATATGCTGCAGCAACGTCTAAATAACAACAAGCAATTTTTCACAACCAAAAGCACTCGCAATCTTTAGTCAAATCAGTAGCTGCAAAATTTCTGTCACCTCTAAGTGTGGTATAAGATAGGAGTCAAGAAATATTACTAACATCTTCAGATAACTGGAATTCAGTTAAACTGATAAGGTCGAACTCGCGCACTGAAATATAGAAGAAATAAATGTTAGACTACAAAATTTTAGCAGAACAAACAAGAACTCGAAAAAATGTTTTGACAAAATCACAGCCTCTTATGATACGACAGTTTCTTTAAAGAATTTTGTTTTCTAATTTCATTTTACTAGTCTTTGTTATATACGTCTCATATACAGGGTGTTTATTAAGTACTTGTACAAACTTTAAAGGGTGACTGACTAATTTTAAGACAAAAAGTTGATATGAACATGGGTCTGTAACGGCTTAGTTCTTGATACAGAGCCTCCAAAAAGAATTTTTTTCTTTCAACAATTATTGTAAATGTTATTAACTTATTTGTAGATGTAGTTTAGTCTTAGTCTTGTAAATGACCTAAGTTTGTCACATCGCAATACAATCAAGAAAAGACATTTTTATACTTGGCTTTTCAAAAACTCTTAATTCCAACGCAGGTTTAATTTTAAACCCGTTTTTTTACAAAACGGCTGCTTTCAACGACAAATACTAAAAATACCTTTTGTACGTAAAATTAAATGGATAATGGGTATATTTAGTCAAAAATTGCATACAGTGCGACACAAACAGTTATGGTTATTTAAATCCAAGTACAACACTATGTGACGCCCTCTAACATTAAACAAAAATCTAAGTAAATGTTTGGGGTTCTCATCAATACTCCCAGTTTCCCGAATTTCCTCAAATTGCCATGTTATTGTACAAAAATATAATCAAAATACCAGACAAAAAATTTTTTTGGACGGTCTGTATCAAGAACAAAGCTGTTGCGGACCCTTGTTCATATAAACTTTTTTAAAGCTTGTACAACTACTTAATAAAACACTCTGTATAAGAGTACAATTACATATCTATAAATATGTCTGTTCTTCCCATATACGAATTTCAGAATATATTTCCTCTCTTGCGTGATCCTTCAAGAACTTGCTGACTAGAACACCTGTAGCTGCGAAAATTTACACACCCCGCAAAAGATGTATGAAAGATACTCTAATAATGTTTACATGCCAGTGTCCACGAGCCATAAAACTGAAAATTTCCATGTGAAACGAGTTTTAGACCTCACTCATAATTCATTAAAGCTTCTGAACATAAAAAATAATCTGGAATTATAATATTGACCTACGATTAGACCCTGTATATTGGATTTATTCTTAGTGTATCTTTGGCTGTTATTGTCCCATCAGTAAATAATCATTTACGAAAATAAAAATTATTTGCACTACAATAATTGCAATTAAAGACATTTCCTCACGATTTATAAACAAATTTTTCTATAAAAAAAATTCTAATTTCTAAATGTCAAAATGTCTATTGAAAATTTGAGTACCTTTTAAAAAAACAGTACCTAGTAGTGAGTACAATTTCTTTAATTAAAATATTTAGGTTTTTGCTTTTAATATTATAGTTTATCAAACATAAACTTATCCAAATTAAGAAGATTAAGAATAATTAAGAGGTTAGTATTTTGTTTGCGTTATTTTTGAAGTTTTAAAAATATATTACATACACGAAAAATTTGCTTATTTAATTGGATTCCGTTATATTAAAAGGAAAGCTCCCAACTTAAACTACACCAGTGAATATTACTTATTAAATAGGTAATTAATATATGTCAATCTATTACATGGGAAGAATAAACGATTTGAAATAAAACTATTAAAAGCAGGTGTAAGTATTTTAAAGATTATTGTAAAATTTACATTGCTTTCCTGCTTGTTGCAGATTTGTGCAATATTACCAATTATTTTTATTTTTCTATTACTTAAAACGGAAACAATATTATCCCTTGTTACATCAATTTGTTAATTGTTCAACTGTCTTCCAACACATATTTAAAAATATAATCAGAAGCAAGACGTCTCAAAAATTGCGAACCTATGTACCCGTTTGGATAAGATTCACTTTTTCTAATCAAAAGCGAGCACTGATAATCAAATCTCCATTTTTGAGGCGCTTTGTCGTGTGGAAGGATATATGATTATTAATCTAGGTAACGACATAGCTAGAAGATCCTTTAAAAGACCAAAACCCTCGAGTAAAACATCAAAGACGGAAGCAAACATCAACAGGCAGAGCACGCTGATGGAAGAGATAGAAGTAGGGACGCCCAGCCAGAAGGGCAGTCAGGGTAGTTTAAATAAACTTGAAAAGGAGTTGTCTAATGTCTCCACTAGTACCCTGAAGGCCCTCGATGATGAAAAGGAAAAGGAGGAAACGGTGAGTGTTTTGTATGTTTGCCTGGATGATATGTAAATATGGTCACGCATTTTTTAAGCGAATAGCAATTAGATGCATTTTTTCTCTTTGTAAAAATAAATCTGTTATTATCTTAACACTTTAAAATAATACATTACCAAAGAAGTATTTTTCTGTTAACTCAAAAAGTTTATAATCACGTTACTTTACGAGATTTATCAATATTAGTTAGTTTTCCCTCGTAGCCACAAAACTATCAATATACAGGGTGTCCCGCGATTACCCTGCGATATTTTACCAGCTCATTCCACGATTAAAAACTTATTTATAACTAAAAAAAGTTTATATAAATGTAGACGAGGATTAAAAATAAAACAACAAAAATTAGAAATGAATATTACTATAGTGAATCTAACGCTCTAAAGTACCTAACTTCTAAAATTTCGAAAGCGTCCCAAAATTTATTTATTTGTTCAAAATACACATCAAACAGACAAAGCTCTAAAACAGTATATGTTAAGTATGTTATTAAAATATAACAATAAATGAGAAAGGAATTAAAAATAAAAGACAGAGAAAAAAATACAAACTTACAAATAACACAAATATAAAGAACAAAACAAAAAGTTAACAAACAATATGTGGGGTTCTCAAGTAATGGATTTTTTTATACTATGAGCCGAACAACAAAAAATGTCGGTATTATTCTCATCTCACTGTACCTACTTGGAAATAATCTGATACAACGATGCAGCACTGTGGAAAGCCGTGAGGATATACAGGGTGTCCCAGAATATGTGGGCAATCTCTCGGTTTTATACAGGGGACGTTAAAATAACATGACAAGTTTTCCCTAGAGACCCCCCCTACGAAGATACGGAGCCCTAAAGGACGCCCCTGAAAATCGTTTTTTTAAATAACTCTTAAAATACCTACTTTGTGTAATTTAATTATTTTAAATAAAAATACAAATGTAACTAAAGGAGGTATTTTTGTAGATAGACACAGAGAGAATGCAAATTTCATTGCTTAATTTCTCTTTACGGGCAATAAAAATCGTTTTAAACAAAAATAATTTTTTCTCGAAAACAGTTCATTTTATCGATATCAACCAAGAGAGTCTTTTTTAGTTTAAGGTTCAAGCTATCTAAATATATTATTTTTATGCCTTTAGCGTAAAGGATGTCAAAAAAAAGTTATTAAAAAAAATCGATTTTCAGGGGCGTCCATTAGGGGTCTGTATATCCATAGGGGGGGGCTAGAGAATATAGGTTAAATTATTATTTTGATACCACAGACTAATAACATCAAGTGCATTCTGTAACCTATAATGGTGTACATGTAAATCAGCCATGATATAACATGTCGTTTATAAACAGAACACAAAGTAAGGGTCGAAGTGTTGAAACTTGAGGCATGCCAGATATTGGATGAAAATGAGACGACTGACAAAATTTTCATATATGTGAACTTTTCTATCCAAAAATCTTAAACAATTTTATAGGAAAAATTAATATCAAAATTATGTTACATGCGACAAACTAAAATTGTAAACCAATACACATATACAATAAACACATTTTCAGCATGTAACATGATTCTTAAATCAATTTTTCTCCAAAAAAGGTGCTAATAAGCAATCTAGTTCAATGTATCAACTGACCTACCTAATAAAAATATACAAATCAGGATTATGGGACAACACTATACACGATACAAGTTAAAAGAACTACACGTGAAATGGTGGCCATTGGCGCAAACATCCGAAAGTCGATAGTTTCGGAAATACAGGGTGTTGAAAGTTAAAATTTTAAATCGTTTTTTTGCGATTATTCTGAAAATATGTAAGTTAGGAACTTGAAAGTTTGTGAAACTATATTTTTTTAAACGACGAATAAGATGCGTGTTGCAATTTTAGTACATTTAGTACATTTTTACTATTTGATGTGGAAATAATTTTTTTTCCAAATTTTCCCAGTAAATTTTCATCAATTTTCACTATTTTTCAGAGGTTAGGAAAAAATTGTGACGTGATGGGCCAATTCTGACCCCAGATTAGTATTCAGGAGGCCAAATTACTACGAAAAATATATGTCGCATAAAAAGTATACCCAACTTTTTTTTTCTGTGTGGCTGTGTTATCTTCTATTATTGTCATATAAATGCTTACATATATCAATAAGTATATAATTGCTACTCGCTGCTAACTTTGCACCCATCTATTTCTTGCCCTTTTCTAAGAAACTCATTACACAGCTTTTTTAAACTGTCATTAAATCGATGTTAAACATATTTTTCAGTACGTGATTATTTGAAATTGAATATGTGATCAAATGAATAGAAAAATCATACGCACGAAGCTGTGTAAAAGTTTACAACAATTTTTCCTTTTCGGCACCCCCTTTCTAAAATCACTGGAAACTTTAATTATCTTCATGCAATGATTATATTAAATATAAATCATTTATTTCATACTCTCATGTGGGCTATAAAAAATGATAAGTTCGCAACTGCAAAATATTTTAAGGTATCTGTCTCATATTCTTCTATTTTTAACAAAAGAATTTGTATCATATAGTTTAAATCTTATACAACAGACTGAGATTACTGATAATAATATCAACATAAATTACCTTTTTGGGGAATAAATATTATTTTGTATTCTTACTTTCCAATATTCGAGAAGTGGAAGAAGGGACACTAACGAGATATAAATTTTTTGGTAGAAATATATTTAATCTGTTGTTTTGACGATATAGTTATCTAAAATTTGAATTTCTATTAGGCAAAACTTTTTAATTATTTTTTAAATGAAGATATATAGATCTTTAGTTAATCATTTTATTTATATTATATTAATTATCTTCTTGTTATATTTATACCTACATGACTGTAGACTTTTAAACTAACATGTGAAACAAAATTTTACATAAGCTTATAAAACCTAAAAATCACTCAAAAAACAAATAATCTATATTTATGAAATGAAAAATATAACTAAAATATGAGAAATATAGTTTAAAATTAAATAGTTAGGTATGAACTTCACTTCCATTCAGGGTCAGGTAGGCACTTCCATTCATGATTTCTTTGTTCTGCACAATATAAATATCTAATTCTGCATTTGAACACCTTCTATTCTCATTAAGTTAGTTATTCTATTATACTGTGTACATATTTCCAATAAATTTTACTTCTTAAATATAGGGTGTAACACAAAGTTGTGTCAAAAATGAAGAAGTGTATTTCTCGTTATTTTTAAAAATATTTTCTCTTAAAATCTTCGTATTTGAGATTTAACAAAAAATATATCTATAAATATGTTTTAAAAGCATTTTATTCTTCGTTTTCTAAATCAAAAATATGTATTTAGTTGCAAGAAGTACATTTTTTAACGTCATTTAAATAAATCTAAATCTATCTAAACATATAATTTTCATATTTGTACCAAAAAAAGTTGAAATCACCTTAATTGAAAATATAATTTGCCTTTCGAATATGACAAAAAATATTTTTTCCTGCAGGCACAATTTTTAAGAAAATTGTAACTACACCTTATATCTGCACTGCTGATTTGGGTTCAGAGTTAATATTATTGCATCGAATAACATTTTATTCATTGTTGTACAAACAAAATTTCATATTAATATTTTCATGTAAGTATTCAGAAGGTATTCAGATATAGTTTTTATAGCCTGAAACTCATAAATAAGGATTTCAAGGGCTACCGTTTATATTCGAAATTATTCTTAAATTTAAACGAGAAAAAATGCTCCTTAATTTTTTACAAGTTGTGTTGTATAAAAAAATTAATTTGTATAATTAAAATAGAAAATATGATAGGTATTTGGAAAAATTCTGTACAATATAATTTACATTTAAGTAAGTACTTAAAACATGCTTTTTTTTGTTACCAATGGTCAGTTCAATATGTCTTGAATTGATTTTAAATATTTAATATTTACACAAATGTGTGTAGGTATGCTATTTTTTCTACCTCTTATGTACCGCATTTTCATAAAATTCTCATAAAAAAGATAATCAGTATTTGGATAATAAAGCACCCCGCACCAACCTTATGAATTTCAGGTACCCGTAGATTTGTCTGGATTTGTGATATTTTGTACTTGATATCCTCCTGATCAAAAGTGTCAATGGGCACAAAGTCCAAAATTAGAAATTTTTTGAGATACCGAGGAGCAAAGTACCCTAAACTGAAACATTTCTTGGGATCGCATGGTAATTAATATACGATTTTGGATCATAACAGATATTAAGTGCAATATTTTCGTGTATATTTGGCCCAATTAACTCTCATAATCCATCTACCCTAATATATATATACAGGATGTTTCATTTTATATTACTCACCTGAATATCTCGTCAGGGGAGCCACCAATCCAAAAATAACCCTTACAAAAGGTGTTGGGTTCTGAAGGGGACATCGGATGGTGTCCTTCAATTTGATCTTGATGAAGAAGAAGAGTCTTAAGTCCCTATCTAAAAGTAAAATCTATCTAAATGGAAAAAACCATAAGTTCCTACTTATCTAAACGCATAATTTTGCGTTCTTTCTCAATCCAGACTCACAAATAGAGGTTTCATTTAAAAAATTAAATTTAACCTTCAAAAGGCCTTGAAAGTTAGGATCAAGGTCAAATTGAAGGTCACCATCCGATATACCATTTTGAGACCAACAACTTTTGTAAGCGTAATTTTCAAATTGGTGGCTTCCCTGACAAAATATTCAAATGCATAATTTAAAATGGGACATTGACACTTGATCATGAGGATATCAAGTACAAAATATCAAAAATGCAGACAAATCCACCGGTACTTGAAATTCATAGTTTGTGGGGGGTCCTTTTGGTAAAATACATTTTGAAATTGTCCTTATTAATAATTTTGATAAAAGCTTGTGTATAATAATATGCAATAACTGAAAGAAAAAATAGTAACGTTTTTCATGGCCCACCAGGTACATACCTTTTATGTTACCTTGCCAAAACAATAACATTTTAATATGACAAATTCTTTTGGTTTTTAAATCATCACTCCCACATTGCATTCCAGTGTAAATTCCCCCAAGTAAGCGTGATAGTAGAACCTCCCTCTCCCGTTCTAAACGAACAAATCCGCTCTGAGCGCATAGAGCACATAAGAATAGAAATCGAAGGAGAAATAGATCCCGACATAGAACTCCTATGTTCAAAGGCCGACAGACTATCCACCAGTGACGTAACCACCAGCAACAATAGTTCTAATTCTAATCTGTTGGGTATTGATAACGAGCAGTTCCTAACAAGGTCTCCAGCTGCCACCAGGAGGATATCCTGCTGTAGCATGCTCAATCCTGCTGAGACTGCAGCTCTGGCAGCGGCCGCTGCCGCTACTAAGTTTTATGGTGAAGCAGAGAAGAAGGAAAGTGAAAAAAGGGAAGAAAGGGAGAATCGGAAGCTACCCATTATCAATCCTCTTGTTAGGCTGCCCACATGGCCAAGTAAGTATTTGATAATTCTTTTTTTGTCTCTAAATGTAAAATGATAGACATCCGATATACGAAGGATTTTCCTATAAACCGAGCAGGGCTATAAAATTCTTGGAAATTATAACATTGTTGTAGAGAAATGAAAATACTTAGTTTTTTATTTTATTTAAGATCTTTCTTTATGATTGAAGGCATGGGAAGACAAGGATAATAATAATTCAATGAGATTTTCTGAAAAATCCTCTATATCTGAAATGAACAGAGTTGAAGTTAACATTATTTTCTCCAAAATCTGAACCAAGAAGCAAATGAGTTTTTTTTTTTTTTTCTCTTGGCTACTGAAATAAAATTCTGTAGAATTTGACCCAAACTTAAAATCGTGCATGTCATTTCAAAATACTCATTTTTTATCAAGACACTTCTTTCTATAAAATTTTAAATAATTTTTTCTGTTTTGCTCATTCCAACTGGAGACAGACTAACACTATAGAATGTATGATAAAATAAAAAGTATTTAATCCAATTCGTTTTCTAGATGTCAGCACAGGTGGCGGTTTCATAAGCAAGTGTTTACTGGCCAACGCAGACACTTTATGTGCGGCAGTGAGTCCGTTAATAGACCCAGACGAAACTCTTTCTGAAGGTTTCTACGAGCGCTGTGTTATGAACAATTATTTTGGAATCGGTATCGACGCCAAGATTTCCCTGGACTTCCATCATAAAAGAGAAGAGCACCCTGAAAAATGTCGATCCAGAGCCAAAAACTATATGTGGTACGGCGTTTTAGGAAGCAAAGAATGGCTTCAGAAAACTTACAAGAACCTAGAACAGAGAGTTCAACTGGAGTGTGATGGTCAGAGGATTCCTTTGCCTAGTTTACAGGGGATCGTTATACTGAATATTCCAAGGTATGTAATTTTTTATAGGTAGAATAACAGTATTAATAATGTGTGTAGAACTGTGTAAACATTTAATATCTTTGGAACTTATAGAAGTTTAACTTTGGGACATCATGTATCATATGGTGGTACATTTTTAACAGTATTTTTGACTTTATAGAATGTTTTATATCAAAATGTGGGAGCAAGTTTAAGTTGTTTTAATGGAACACCCTATACATTGTTTTTCATATGTTTAATTGAAATCTAAACACCATGGACAGGTTTTTTATATAAACGTGAGAAAGCAAATACGAGTATAAACGATTTGATTTAAAAAATAAGAAATTAATTTTATTAATTTTATCAAAAATAAAAAACTTTTGAAATATGAATTTAAGCAATAATGGATACCAGTCTGGTATAAAAACAAAAACAGTTAAATAAATTTTTAAATTGTTTATCTTAATTCTGATAGTACGAAAATTCTTGAAAATTAAGCCAAATATCTCAAAATGTTATAACTGTATCCCTAAGTCAATGCCTAAAGTAGAAGAAAAAGAATTTTATTTCTATAAGGTCCTATTTGAAATAAAAAACATTTTTTCGTAGATTTCAAATAGGTAGCAAAACTGTACAGAGTATTCAGTTAAAAGAAACATATTTGCTCGAACATTTTGATATTAAACACCTTATATTGTCAAGAATATAATTAATAATTAGGTCGTTATGTGATATGTACAGGATAATTCACTATATTTTGACCCCACCTTTAACTTTTTTGTTTTAATGGTTATAAAAAAAATGTGAAGTACAGAAACTGCACGATTTTTTATGAAGTTTTCGAAAATGAAGTCGAAACAAAATCGCCGCGGATGTTAACTTTGTTAATTTAAATGGAACACCCTGTATATTTTTACATATTTGTATAGAATGTTCCCTGTCGAGCATAGTCATATAGGGTTTGTCGAGTCCATCTCTAACAATAAGTGAGATATTAAAAAACAAAAAGAGGGTTTTTTATTAAGAAAATAAAACATTTTGTAATTGTTACACCACTTTCATGCATTTCTGACTTTTTTCCAATAACGTAAGGATTAAGATTTAGTTGTAATATATTTTATCATAGTGATAATAGCATATTAACTATAAATATTATTTCTAGTTTCATGGGAGGTATAAACTTTTGGGGAGGAACTAAGGAGGGTGATATTTTTCTTGCACCTTCATTTGATGATAAAATTTTGGAAGTAGTTGCTGTATTTGGTTCTGTTCAGATGGCCGCATCGAGATTAATCAACCTTCAGCATCACAGAATAGCTCAATGTCAAAGCATCCAAATAAATATTTTAGGTAAATTTCAACATATAGTGGGTATTGATATAAATATGCATGATTTCTTGTAGGTGAAGAAGGAGTTCCGATACAAGTAGATGGAGAAGCTTGGATACAACCACCAGGAATTATACGAATCCTGCACAAAAATCGAATGCAAATGCTTTGCAGAAATCGATCTTTAGAAAACTCTTTAAAATCGTGGGAAGAAAAACAACGGCAGAGTATGTCGGCTCAAGGAGCCAAACCAAGACTATCAATTTCACATGACAAAGGTCGTAGTAGCCTCACGAGACAGAGCATGCCTTCTCATGAAAAGTCATTCTTGGGAGTCAACATTGAAAAGATACGACAACATTCCTTCAGTGGTGCTGTACCCACACATGTTGAAAAAGAAAAACACACGGTGCATTTTGTTGAAAAACCTCCAACATCTGCAGAACCAGAAATACTATTTTCGGAAGAAGAACATTATCTTCTGATTAACTTTATAGAATGTGTAACAACTCTAACTAAATGGATAAAAATACTAGCTATAAGTCACAGTCTGGAAGTAGATCTATATACTCTTGCCGCCAAGACTGACACATGTCTTGAAAAAATTCACCCGAATGGCAAAATACTAGAAGGACCTCAACTGAGAATAGAATTCACTAAATTAGTGTCGGCTGTAAAACAATTATATGAAGATAGTTGTTGCCTGCTGCATGATAGAGGAGATAAATTAAAACTTAGAGAAGACTTGGAGAACAAACTTAGTGTTAGCCTTGCTAACACAGAACTAGAGTTAAGGAAGTGTGTAATGTACGATACACCGTCAGGTAGTTTAGTATATCTGCAACCTTTGCAGGGAGATCAGGTAACTAAAATTATTTTTACTTATCTCATCACAGAATATGCAGTGTGTCTGTGTCTACCCATTAGAAAATTTCAAGAATTATTGTGATTCAAGTCCTATACCGCGGAATTTTTGAATCTGCTCTTTTTAAATAAAGAAATAGTTATATCGAAAGTGGACTTCACTCATAATGTCATTAATTTTAACTACATATTCGGAAGGCCTAATAAAAACAGTAAATTGAAAAAAAAAATTGACAACATTTTAAAAAATAAGTAAATTTCCCTTTAACTTCCGTTAACTCAGCGCCCTATTTCGCAACAGGGACTGTGCTGGTCAACAAAACGAAACAGCTGATTTCCCAGTCGTTTTGAATTTTGCGATTGGTTTCAAAATCAAAGTGCAGCGGATCCCAACTTTATTTATTAACAAAGTGCTATGGATGAATAAGTGTTTTTTTTTTAGACATACCGGCATTTTAGATAAGTAGGTACCATACTACCTACTCTTTCAAAAACAGTAAGTCACACAATAAGGTATATGTACTACAAACTGAATAATTAATTGAACATAATACTAAACACTATATTCAATTATAAAATATAGTGAAAACGTTAACAATAATAAAAATACTAAATAACCTAACATTCGAAAAACAATTATTATTCTTAAACTTGTTTTTTTTTAATACTTGTTAGGATTTAAAATGATAAAAAATATTTTATTCGTTCATGTGTCTAGGTATAAAGGTCTGTTTTTGTCGTTCACTATTAAAATGGCAGTAAAAGCTAGGTTAGTGACCGTATACGGTAGATCAGAATTCACTCTCCATAAACCTTTGTAGGTCAGCGGTCAGGAGTGGTCCGAAAAGGGGTATTTGAAAATATTTTTTTTTCAGCATAAATATGCATTTTTAAATTTTTTAATCACGTATTTATATTCTATTGATTTTTACCTATCTTCCCTTAAAATTAATAATCACTCTGTACATAACTTAGCTTTTTTTAATGAAGTACCATATTTTTATATTGCATTTTAAAAATTTCTGATTTTTTAAATTTTACTCAACTCTAGCTACGAAGGTACAAATCCTGAACATTTAAAGAGTTTTAACTGCAATGTTTTGTAAGTTTAGGCATTAAGTTTTCTAAAATATGCCAAAAAGGTTTAGTGTAAAAATATTTCACACAATAATTATAATAGCACAGCTGTTTTAGTTCTACTCGATCATTAGTTCATTTGTCATTGTTGTTTTGGTGTTTGTTCATTATTTCTACATAATTAATGTCACTTTATTCCTTTAATTTATTCCTAAATTACGATTTTGCAGATAAATAAAAGCTTTGTGCTAATACAGCTAGAACATGACTATAACACATTTAAAAATGTAGATTTCTGATATTCAAAACCATATATACTATCTATAAATAAAGAATAAACTAAAATATATCACTATCCATGTCTCTCTATTTAATAGTAGCGTTTTATAAGCTATGCTATCAGATAAGTCAAAGTAGGAGCTGACGCTTACCCACAAATTTTGACTTTTGTAGGCCATCTAGATCCAGAGGCATTAAAATCAATGCCTTTAAATCTGACCAATTACGCATTTATCATTGTTATTATTTATTACAAAAATTAGAAATTTGAAGATGTACATATAACATTTTTCACCTGAAAAAAATGGGTAGATAAAAAATATGCAATAAAAAATATTTAAAATAATGAAGTTAATGTCAATTTTTGGCATAATCGAAAATCACTAAGATGCCATTACATTATTTAAATAGAACACATCTAAAATTCCCAGTAACAAATTTTCATGACTTAAATCGCAAGTCTGAAATATTCCATTAGAAGATAAAAGATACTGAATTTCTAATTGTTACATATGTTATTGATGTAATATTTCATTTCCAAAGCATACATCTGCTGTTTCTTCTATTATAATTTAAAAAAAAAATACCTACATAACAAATTCAACTTGTACTTAAATTTGAATGAATATCAATTTTCATCAATTTGCATAAAAAAAATATAATGTATTTTATTACTCCGTACTATTCTACAAAGAAAATTAATTGTGAACCAAGATTTTGAAAAATACTCCCTGTATAAATTTTTATGTTATATTAAAAAATGTTATTTGATTCATACACCATTGTCATCAATATGGAAAAAAACATTTAAATAAAGAAAATGTAATTAAAAACAAATGTTCATTTAAGATTTAAAATAAAGGTTCTTAATTACAGGCTGAACATAAGAGAAAAGGTCTATTCTGGCTGAAATTCCGAACAAAGGGAACTGGATCGCAAGCATCCAGTCAAAAGAGAGAAGTGGCTTCTTGGGGTACACAAGAAGTTGCGACATGGCTGGAAACATTACAGCTGTCAGAGTACATTGACAGCTTTGAAAAGAACGATATAAGAGGTAGAGAACTTCTTACTTTGGCACGGAGAGATTTGAAAGACTTAGGAGTAACTAAAGTAGGACATGTTAAAAGGATACTGCAAGCCATTAAGGATTTGACACAAGGATTATAAGAATTAGATGTAAGTTAAACCCATGTAAGCCCCAGATGTCAATATACTGAGGTAATAAGTATTGTTAAATTTTGTTATATGTGTGTAAATAACTTTACTGTCACAAAATGTAATATTAATAATGACCACATTTAAATTGGATTTTCTCAAAATTATTTGCAAAAATTATGTAAGGTGTGGCCAGATTATCTGAATTGATCATCGATAAGTGAAAAAAGATATTTTTGGATTGACACTTGACATTGTGGAGAAGAAACCCGCTTGATTAAAAGATAATTTAATCCAAAAAAATTAATACACTCATCATAAAAGTGACTTTTTTGTATAAGATATTGAAAAATTTTATTAAAATATATTAAGAATTAAAATGTATGCAATGGTGGTAACTGACAAAAAACAAAATATGTAATTGAAATTTTGAAACAACGCTGCCAAGTTTAATGAACTGTAGGATGACAAAAACATGTTGCTTGAGTTATATAAAATATTTTTTCTACAATCGTCTTTTATTAGTTATTTCAAAAAAATAATAAATCATTCTGTGTAGCACAATCAAGCAAGTCGGTTCCTTTGCATATATAAAATATATTGAACCTTTCTCACACTAGTACAAAAAACTGACTTATTTCAATACTAAGTAGAATATTATCATATACGATTGTAGAAAAAATAAAACTTCTAACAAGACTTGCTGAATTTTTCTATAATAAAATATAGTATAACAATTGTTTTATGTCATGTGCTCATAATGTCAATTTTCAACATAAATATGTTTTGTTATTTGCTCCTATCATTACAGATTTGGCAACACTCTGTATATAATTAGTATTTAAATTCCACATCTATTCAGGCTGTCCTAGTTTTCTTCTTTATAACTGACAACAGAAGACCCAATTTTAAGCAAAATAGTTCTATCTGCATAGGTCGTAAAATACTCTAGGTCTAGCTTATTCTAACATTCATGGACTTTTTGAAGATATCAATTGAATTTTTAAAGTGCCTATTCAATTCTGCTTAAAAAAGGTATTCATCTCAGATACAAAGTAGGTACCTATCTGATGACCCGTGGATAGTTTTTGCTTAAAATTGTCATCACTTCAATGTTACGAATTAAAAAACTGAAACACTCTATTCATTACATTTTGAATAATATATCAGTCTTTAAATTAATTGTTATACAGGATGATATAAAAAAGTAGGGCAAGCCATTAACCACAGATTTTTTAAGAAAAAAATAATGTGTCTTGCCTTATGCCATTTATTAGTGAAGCTTTTTTAAAGACAGGATGTCAAAGTTACAATTGTTGTGTTTTAAATCATTCAGTTGGAATTTTGCAGTTTTATCCTTGCTGTACATTTTGTGTAATTTTGATGTAAAAAAATGAAGCAAGAGCAGGGGAAAATAGAGTTGTAGTTCTTCTACTTTTTTGTGCACTCCTATGTTTCAAATGTATAGTTTTTCAAGGGTAACTGTTTTTGTTAATAATGTTCTCTGCCTCCTTGGTTTACAAGATATTGCAACTTCTTTGAAAATATGATCTTGACCTAAATGCTGCTGTTTAATTTCCTAATTAAGCTTTACTAAAAGATTTGCTAAGATATGTTTCCACATTCCATATTAGCTTTGCAATTTGTTGAAAAAATTATTTTATTCATTAGTATACCAAAAAATATTTCAGTTAAACCACAAGAGTATTTTAAATAAGAAAATGATTTTGTCATATTAAAATATATATAATATTTGAAAGACTAAATCCTAAATAAATTTTTCAGATATCAAAATAATGAAAAAAAAAACAGGGGCTTGACCAATAGCTTTGAAACACTGGAAAAAGGTGGAGGCAAATGGCTACTACAACTCCCTTTGCTCCGTTTATGCTTTGATTTTTTCTCCAAAATTTCAATTGAGTATCTTAAAAAAGAGTATAAATGAAAATTATGGTAATGAAAGTTAAATTATCTTCACTTAAAGAGTCAGTGGTTAACTACTTCTTAGTGACATCCTGTATACATAGGTATAAATTAAAGGCAATCATTTAAATTCTAGTTAACTATTTCCTCAGTATAAAACCATGTTTAAAAGTAAGTAAACCCTGTATGCGTGTACTGATGTTATTGTACGTAATATAAAATTGTGCGACTTACTGTGATTTCCAAACTGTAATTAGTTATGAGAACTCGTAGATAGTTATGTGAATGTAGTATAGTTCATAAATTGACAATTCATCTATTCTTCAATACACTACCTATAAATATTTATTATATTTGGTGATTTTTTGATGTGGAACTGAAGTTTAAAGGATCTATTTTTAAATTATTTAATTTTCAAAATATATCTAAAACAGGGCCACATTATAAGATCACTTTTTATATTGTTATATTGTTGTCAAATTTCTCACTATCTAAATTGAAATTAAGAAATTATAGAAAACCTTATATTCTAAATTAAAAAAGCAATTATCTATCCCTTTAGCAATATTATATCTATCTCTTTCTAATCTATTCTTCATAAATATTTGACTGTTTTCATACTTCTAACACATTTTCCTCATTATGTGGAAGATATCATTATCAGTAATAAGTAAAAACATTATCAAAAACAGGGTTAAGTAAGTTACTAAATATAGTAACAATTTAGCAGTAATATGTAATTTGCAGACCGCCATATGTACCAAACTTTAAAAATGTGAAGCAAAACATTTTAAAGATGGCAATGGCGGCAGCAAGAAAGTATTCGAAAAACAGAGAACCATCTGTTGCACTCTATGACCGAAGCTATTGGACCTGCTACGTTGAGTTTGATAAGCTGTACTAAAAAAATATTCACTAAAAAATTTAATATCATTATTTTTGTAATAAAAAATAAATGTGGATTATACAGGTTGCCCCAGAAATGGTTGAAAAAATAAATTGGTAAAATTATTGTTCATTTTTTGGAAGTTGTTTCATACAAAATATTTCCAGCTGAACCTTCCGCGACTATGTCAATATATTTCGCCATTTGTTTTTCATACTTTACTTATCAAAATCTTGTCCAAAAAAATTTTTTTAAACTGCTCTATTTAGAAATGTTTTTGTCTCATAAAATTTCTGTATCCATATGCTTTAGTTTTTGAGTGAAAAAAATATATATATATACATATAAAACAAGATAAATTCGAATTTGTAAAAAAGCTCGTGTTATTCTGACTGACATCTCTAATTGTCATTACCAAACTCTTTTGTGTTACTATAAATATTTCGAAAACTACATTAAATGTAACTAACAACAAAGTAAGAAATTATTCTCGAAATTTGCTCAAAATAACTACATTAACATTATTAAGAATAAAAAATACCTTAATGGCTTCCACAAACAGGCATGATATAAAGCATATTCGCGTTATTGCAATATCCAGTGGTGGCTAGTTGTCAGATTGTATGAGGCTAAATGTAGATTTACAGTACAATAATTAATTATCATTTTACAAGTATCATTAGAATATGAATAGAACCCAAGATAAAATCGTATAGATAAAAGAAGAAATATTACAAATAATAATTCATTTGCAACAAGTGTTCTTTTTTTTAATTGTGAGGTTTGCAAGTCTATAATTATGCATAAATAAAACAAAAATGAAAACTTACAAAGAACAATGGGGGCTAGCCTCCGTCACTCAGTTAAAAAGCCATATGGTTAATCTAATATGGCAAAGCAAACTAGAGCTCTGTGATTCTTACGTATAAGGCATTTATGATCTAGAGAAATCACAGAGGAACGTAGTATCCACTGTATTTCTGATCGGCAGAATATTGATTTTTTAGGCAGAATATTGATTTGTTAGGCAGAATATTGATTTGTTAGAGAAAAATAATTCATATTGTATGAAATTAAAATAAATAATGAAAAAAATTAATTAATTCCTTAAAACGTTTTGAGGTGGCTTAGCCGTTCCTGCCTCCTCTGAAAAGCTGTCACTGGCAGTATTGTCATAAAACAATATCCTGCAATAGTATTCATCCCAACACATTTGCGATACTAATGAGAGTTACCTCTGGTCAAAAATAACCATAGTGACCTTGCAAACACACCTTGGTGAATGATGCTACAAGCTATTGCATTATTGCGATATAATAATAACAACATGCCTTGTATCGCACCTGTTTGGGGGAGCCTTATAATATACATATCTAGTAAAAGAATAAAAAAATTGGGATATATTGATATAGATGCATGTCATTATTAAATCGGTGTCATAATGTATCTACTACTGTTTTTGAAAAAGTTGATGAAACTTTATAAAGGAGCTGTAGCTTTCTAAAAGAGGCTTGTTAATAAAAGTTTTAAATGAAATATCCTTCATGGAATTGAGCAATCCACCATTGGATTTTTTACAACCATTTCCATGGGCAGTATGTAAGACCTCAAATTATATTAATAAAACTAAATAAAGCCATTTATGGAAATTTAAAATAATTTCAAAATAAATGTCTTATCGCAATTTTTTACTATTCATTTAAAGTTTTACTCCAAATAACTTATTAACATTAAATAATTAAATGCAATATCCTTTAAAATTTTCAACAATATTTATATACTTGACAAAATGTGTTTCACAGTAATAATGTGCTGCTATACTTTAATAATAAATCTTCCAACAATTTTATTGGAAATAATTATAATTGATATTTTTTTAAGACAAAAATTTATTAATACTCTTAACTCATTTCATACAATACATTATCTAAGGCATCATCAAATATAGAATACCAGTTACCCTCTCCACAACGTAATAGTCATTATGAAAAATTGCAATAATATTTAGTAATTATAGGGTGACCCTGTACTAGTTTTCCAGAATACATATTCCTAATAGGTGTTATCTAATTTTAGTTTGTATGTGTTACAATGGGATCATAGGTATAGTAAGTAGATAGGGTTAAAAGTACCTTTTACATGTGTATTTAAGAAAAAGCATAGTCTTCATTATTTAACTGACTATATTTTTAGGCTTTTTTGAATGTTTGAAACCAGTAGTTAAGTATCTAGTCGATCTATATTATATTATTTAAAAGTATTTTCAAATATATCTTTATCTGAGCTTATTTACCATAATATTCTTCTTTTATTATTTTTAAAAAATATACCAAAGATAATCATTAATTATAATGCCTTTTAATGTCATTACTGTTAGTCTCTAAATGTGTTATATGATATTATTTTGATATAACCTTAAACTTTACATTTCAATACAAACAAGCTATCAATAAGTACAAAATGATCTGAAAAATTTAAAAAGTGCCAGATATTATAAATGAAAATGAAAAAAGAAAGAACTTGCTCATGGAAATGAACAATCTCTCATAAATGTTAATACTTTCTTTTGTTTTAATAAATTCAAATGTACTGCCACGGCCATCTGTACTAGAGACGGCCGTGGTACTGCACATCAAGAAAATATCAATTTGTACTTATTTAAATACATTGTGCTCTACAATTAAATATCAACATATTTAAAGATTTTGAAGGAAAATAAGGACAATTTTTGTTTTTATTAATATTTAAATGTAGACCATCAAAATATTATATTAATATTTGTTAAACTTGAAACATTCCCTTCTTTTTTAGAATTATACCTTTTTAATACTTTTTGTAGATATAAGGACTAAAAAATGAATATCCAAAGTGTTCTTAAAAACTATGACCTTATGGATATTTATTTTTTTAAATATAGAATTAAACCTGTACTATGATAAACTTTTACGATTTAATATGGACCAACATATGTTTATAATGCTTACTATTTCTTTATATTTTGAACCGTAATTTTAGTTATTTATTTATATTAATTTATTTTGGGTAATAAATGCATTGTACTGCCATTTTTATTATGAGACGTTTATAACATTAAGAAATATTTAAATACAATTATTTTATTGGCAACGATTTTGTCTTCATACTATTTTTTAGTGATTTTTAATACCTTTCATAATCTTGTATAAATTACAAATCAACGATGATAAATGTTACATTGCAAATGTTAATATTAGTATTTTATTATTCAGTATCGCTTTTAATTTATAAATTACATATATAATCATTATCATATAATATTCTGTTTCTTGTTGTTCTTAAAGTTTGTAAAAACCCTGAATAAATATGTTGCTGTTAAATAGTTAATGAAAGGTATATTTGCATTATCTTGTCTTTCATGTCTTAAGTATTTTAACACTCAATTATATCTACTCGTACTTTTTTTTTGGTAGCCTGTATATACATATTTAACAAAAAACAGTGCAAAAAATTAAATGTGCGGTATTTATGGAAACTTTAAAATACCATGTTACAAGACGTTTTTGAATCTTAAGGGGTAAAGCCACTCTAGAGGTCAGAAAAAAAAGTGATTTTTGGAAATTTTCAAGGAAAAATCTATAAAGATGTAGTGCCAGGAACAAAGAAACTTTATTGTACACGTTTTCAGGTAATACTGTGAATTTTTTCGAATGATTTAGATTCAAAATGGCGGCTGTAGGTCATGGCAAACAATGACAGCTTTTTTTCAGAGCGATGTATTGTCGGAAGAATTTCTTATTAACAGATGGTCTTGGAACAAAAAACAAAAATTTTCTGATGTTATAATACCAGAAGCTAGGGAACATCGTAAGGAAATTCAAAAATATTAATAATTGTTGATTTAGTGAACATTAAAAAAAAAAGTATCTAAAAGACGAATTTAATGCAAAATTATTAAATTGTTAATAACAATGAAAGTTGTTAATCAATCGAAAAACGCATGAGATGTTTCCTGTTAGTTTCCAGCTAGTTAAAAAAAAAAAAGTGGTTTCTTGAAAAACGCTTTTAATGTTTTTGTTACCATTCAGCAAAAGAAATTTGTTATATGTATACCTTCAAGCTCTCAACAAAAACATTAAGCCAATGCTGGTAGGACTACACAATTTCAGATTGCCTAGTTAGAATTACAGTATCGCTTGATGAAGTTAATCAACTTTAAATGGTTGCTGAAAAATTTATGGCCAGAAATTGTAAATTGTTCTGCGCAGGTGCCTAACATCAGAGATGAAATTAAAAAAGTTGCTGATTTAGGGAAGTGATTGCCTGGAGAAGGAAGATATGAATCAGCTAATTGAATCGCATAATGTTGAACTTACTGAATAAGAACTCAAAGATTAATTATGAAGCTTAAGAAAAAAAGATGATGACACAGTCCTCGCACCACTGGAATAGACATTAAAAACACTCAACAAATGTTTTACCATACACGATCTAACAGAGCTTTTAATCAGGGAAGATCCTATAGCGGAAAGGAGTTTGAAATTAAATAAGAGCTCTTTACGGCATTAGCACCGTACAAGGAAGTTAAGAAGAATTTGCGCAACGAAGCTGAACAGGCAAAAATAACGTCTCATTTTTCTAAAAATTAAACTTTATACTTAACAAAAAATTATATAATACGTATAATGTTCTTATACGTACCTATTTACTAAAAGTTTATGTAATAAAATGTTTTTCAATGTGTATGTACATATACATGCATAAGGAACAAACGGTTTCCATTTACGCAGTGTTTTCAAGGAACGTAACTCCCGCGTAAAACGAGGGACTACTGTAATTGATATTTTCTTCATCTTCTTCTTTTCGACTTCTGATACTCTGTCTGACCTCTATAATAGTTATCACGCGCGTTTTCACGAGTTACAATAAACACTCCGGCAGTACGCTACAAATGGTTGGTTTCCACCTCGAAAAAACTCATGTTTCCAATTTATTCCCCCACCCAAAACTTTTTTCTTATATTCTTCACATAAAGCATTGTTTAAACCGTTTATCCAAAAATGATTTTTTTTTCAAAATTCTAAAGTGGCTTTACTTCTTAATTGAAACAATAAATTTGTAAAGAAATTTACTGATGCAATAAAACAAAATAATATACAAATGTACTGCTGCCGAGTCTTTGCTATTTCTATCTTTAATTCAAGTTGTTTGTTTATTTAAAATATTCAATAATTGGTGGGCAAATCTTATAAATAATATATTACATACTCTTCCAATGTTATATTATTTCTTCCATAAAACATTTATTAAAGAACAGTTTATTATCAGGTAGTCAAAAAAATAATTCTTATATTTTATCGATCGATAAACTATAAGAATTATCATAAAAATGAACAGTTTTTAGTAGTAGATCAGTCATTTTTTAAAACTTATGCTGATATTTGTACTAAGAATATAATTTTTTCCTGTAAAAAAGTTACCTACTGAAATAATTTCAATTATTATGAAAAGGTTGAATTCTAAATTCTTACCTACAATACATACCTTGGCAAATATGAAATGAGAAAAAACTATTTTTGTTTGCCAAATATTTTTTTTTTCACATAAAATGTAATAGGAACAAGATATTATTAACTCTCTAATTTAATTACTGACTGTTAATGCAAAGAAAAACAGTTCAAATTTACAACTCCATGAATTCACAAGGAAATAAACTTTACAAAATCAATATTATTGTAACATTAATATTATTTATGTTTATTAGTGACTAGATTTTTAAGTGATTTTACAGGAAAATCCATAAAAGCCTTAGGTAATTCACTAAAAACAATTAATAATATTTTCCATGCAATAAATTGTTCATGAAATTGGCCAAAAAATGGTTATAGTTAAACCTATTTCACATTTACCAATTTTTAATCCAATAAATTACTTAAGAAATTGATCAACATCTATTGTTACAATTATCAAAAAAATTATGACACATTTTCTAGCTTGAATGCAACGTCCAAGAAATTAGAGACAATAGAACTGAACCTAATTTACTGGCTGATTTTTTCAGATCTTTTGATACTTATATTTACATGAAAATTAAGTCACTAAAAATCCCCAAAATTAGCCAATGAATTAAAATTTTTGCTGTCTCCAATTTTTTTATGGTTGGAGCTGAAATTTGGCACAGATTTTGTGCCAAATTTCCTTGATCAGAAATTGGTAAATATATTGTGTTTTAGAAATACTGCTATACTTTTGCAATAATATTTAAGTTCTTGTTATGAAAAATTAAAGAAGTTATATTGTTTATTAAAGACCAATTTCTCTTGCCACATTATCCAACAACATAAATGAAAAATAGAAATATAGTACAAAAAATATATTTAATTGTAAAATAAAATTAAGATATTCAAATATAATTCGAAAATAAAAATTACTAATCGAAAGGTAGGTATGTACATATGTAAACTAAGACCTACCTTAAAATAAAACACTTTATTTTCCTAGAGACCAAGCCACAAAAGACAATCCACCAAATAAAATTACTTAATTGACTTCCTCATTGAATATTTAATTGTAATGTATTAAAAGCTGAAACATTCAGTTACAAATTGAACCAGTACTAGCCTTTATAATTTAATTTGTATATGTTTTATGAAAATATAAAAAAATCTTTTGTTAAAGTTTAAATAATTGATTTGTACCTTAACATGTATACCTATAATATTAAATAATAATTAACTGATACCCTTAGATTTATTTAAACATGTCTCTAACCTCCTCAACGTATTTTTCTTCCCCAAAATCACAATCATTTCGGCTACACCAGGCCCCTCCTAAAAGTAATTAACAAATTATAACCAGCTATTATGAAAATTGGAAGTGGAATATACAACACTGATCGAAATTTAGGTCACAGGCCTAGTATTATAATATACAGGGTGGTCCAAATTTTACGCAGAAAACTTCAAAGGCAGATTGATCTCTTTAAAATAGTAGGTGTTTACCTTAGGTCTGGAATGGTCTCGTTTTGGAGATACAGGGTGTTGAAGTTATAAAAAAAAAATGATTTTTTTTATAACTTCCTTAAGGCCTGGTAGGCCTTACATTCCCTAAAATAAGACCTCTAAAGGTTCAACCAGTGGTGTACAACTGAACAGGGGTCACCCCCTTTTTCTATAAAAAAAACTATGCCACTGTATTTTTTACGAGTTATTGTAGCGTATTTATATTCTAATGCACAAAAAACGTAAAAAAGGTATCTTGAATTTTTTCCCTAAGATTCGCCGTTCTTAAGTTATTCATAGCAATACAATCCCCTTATGGCGGGCAGACAATTTTGACCATAATATTACAAGAATATGTTTATGCCTAAAAGTAAGTGCAATTTGTAAGCACATCAACAACATTCTTTACAGTCGTTTCCACACCACCTGTGAGAATTATTAAATTACACCCATCTCCTATCCGTTACAGTAGTTGTGGTCTTGATACATCATCATATATTATCTGTACCAATTTTTATTGAGATCAGTTAATAGAGACTCTGGAGATATCAACAAAAAATCAATTTTTTTACAACTTCAACGCCCTGTATCTCTAAAATGAGGCTGTTCCAGACCTATGGTTATAAGGCAAATGCCTACTATTTTATAGAGATCTATCTACCCTCGAAGTTTCCTGCATAAAATTCGGACCATCCTACATATATACTTAGTCCCATAGCTAAAGAAAGAACCAACAGTACTGTTCAGAAAATTTTAAAATCACAAATGATAGACAAAATTACAATTTGTAGAAATATTTTTGTGAATCTACTAACTATAAATTTGAAAACATTAATTTTTATTATTAGTTTCTCCTTCAATATGTAATTTCTTTTGCAAATATACATAAATTAATATTATGCGACACATCGTTTGTAATCATAGGCCTATTCTAATATTAGTTGGATTATAAAATTATTTGCTTATATTTAAGTCCCTAAAACTACCCTTGAAAATGTTTGTAGGCCATTTTTTAAAATGATAATTGTTTTTAAATATCTTACCTTGAGTCCACTTAAAACTGATCTGAGTAATTTCATGAAGTTACTAAACTTGATTTTATTCTCTTCACAAAAGTTCTTTAAGAATGTGTTAAGACTGTTTTTTTCACTTAATTCTTCTTCATTTTCCAATTTAGCTTTAAATAATTCTACTGCATTCATATCAGGCTCTTCAATTTTTAGTTCAGTTGGGATAACCCAGATAAACTCTAAGTCTTTTGAAACAATATCAGAAAGTTTATCTATTCTGTTTACAGCCCAATGTAAAATATTTCTTATGTATTCTTGATTTAACTGCAATGAACTTTCTAATACCCTAAAATAAGATATTTTTTAATACTAACTAATATTCAGTTAAAATATATAATACCTGCCACAAAATGCATTTTGAACCAGTTCCTTAACTTGGAGAATTAAATTATGTTCTTCCTCTACACTGTGTAATCTTCTTTTTAATTCATGTCTGTTAAATTCTAACAATCGCTCCATCATTAGTTTTCCAGAATGTGACTTAATTCTTGTCAAATCAAACTAAAATTATGGATATCATATATTAACTCAAACAATTATTTTGGGATTCTAATACTGACAATTAGATTTCTGTAAAAGAGTGTCCTAGAATGAATGGGACACAGAGCACTGTATTCGGGACACTTTTTAACCAAACTCACCGTAAATAAAAAATTGGTATTAAGAGACACAGAGTGTTAATATCAAAATTTTTATTTTTATTTTTTCCATAACTGAGACTATTAAACAAGATACTTAATTTTACTTGAATATTAAATTAACAAATTAAGCCCAACGGTGGAGTCAACATGAGGCTTCACTAATGTAGAACTACGAGAAGTGATCTGGCATTTGAATGTCCTATTTGAAGTAACACTATTCAATATATGACAAAAACAATTTTCATATAAAGAAATAAGGGTTTAAAAGAAATAAATTAAATATTACCATCTATGGCATAAGCGCCAGTCTTGTTTTGGACTTCGAAGTGTGATTACAACGGTAATATTTAACAAACTGTATATATTTAAGAACCATGTGTTGTTTCTAAAATAGTGAAATAATAATTAATGGCAAATATATTTTTCTTAGGGCTACTTGCTTGGTTGCTAAGAAATTAAAAAAAGTAAATTATTCAATGCTACCATTTATGTAATTCAAAGATATGAAAGTCATACACAAGGGAAGTCCTTGGGGGGTTAACCTTTTGATAGAGGGCACTGTGGTCGATTATAGACTGGCTGACATTTACTAAGTCTCATTGTTTACATACATTTGCCAAAATATCAAATGTATTAGAATCGCAGTGACACCCAGAGATATTTGTAGAATTTGCATCTGAACACTTTGTTTTTAAAATTACTTGTGTAACATTATCATACAGTCTTCATAAATGATTGCAAACCACATACCCACCGAGCTTAGGCAACCAACATTGCATGTCTCTAAAATATTTAATGTCAATATTAGTAATAAATACTCAAATACCTACATACAGAAATAATTTATTATTATAGAATAAGTATTAGGGCTTTAAAAATGTGGAAGTTTTCTTGTATTTGAATATTTTGCGCCTCAGCTAATGATAATAAAAAATTCTCATTACAGCCATACGGAAGTCTCCAAATCCGTTTTACGTTCCATCATCCGAGTGATTTAGCTGATAAGGTGCCACAATACATAGTAATTTTAAATATATTCTAAAAATTTGTGACTCACAAAAACAGGTTACACATTTTTTTTATTAACTAGTGGGGCAATATTTTGATTGGTTGCCTCTATTTTGTACAGTTTTTTTTTCACTGGTACTTTATTGTAGCGTAGCATACAGGGTCGGAAAGTCCCCATGGTTCATCGGCTGTTACGTGAGAGCGATAAAGAAAGTCATAGAAATCCGTGCGATAGAGAAAGATGGCTATAATGAAGGCGTCTAATAGTCACCGCCCATTTCGCCCTTCCACAAATAGGATCCATTTCTTATTTGTGGAAGGGCAAAATGGGCGGTGACTATTAGACGCCTTCATTATAGCCATCTTTCTCTATCGCACCGATTTCTATGACTTACTTTATCGCTCTCATGTAACGGCCGATGAGCCATGGGGACTTTCCAACCCTGTATATAACACATTGTTTTTTTTTTCTTTTTTTCAAACGTGATATTTTACAGATATTGCAGACTGATTTTGTTGACCCAATCATTTGGGTCGTTCTTTTGATTCTCAGATATAAATATTTTCCCGAGTGACTGTCACTGCCTTTACTGATGCACTACAGTTACACAAAAAAGACATTAGTGCTACGTCTAGTCCAAATGAAAATCGCTGTACTATTATTTCCTCCTTGTTGGATTAGTTTAGGGAGCAAATTTTTATAGACACCTGAAATCTTTGATACAGTCAAAAAATGAATAGTCACCAGGAGTTATAACAACAAATTCTGATTTCTGTCAATTTTATGAAAAATGAAGTAAACATATTTTTTATTTCGTGAATAAAGTTGCTGAAATGATCAATATCAATATGAACAAATATTAAAATCAAAATATTGTGCAGTCCTCACTTTAACCCGAGTAATCTTGAAAAATAGTCACTTTCTTATTATTTGATAAAAAATGTACAAAAATCAAAGAATTGTACTAAAATGACGATTCCACTAGTCAGGTAGAATTTAGAAGGGAGAAACTATTCCTCTACCCCTGACTGGTAATAGCGAAAAACATCTTTTACCATAGTTTAATATTTCACTAAACTACCTCTAAAAAAAGTATATTAAGTAGTATCAAAATAATGGGCAGAATAATTCAAAAATTTTGAAATAAAACACTATATCTCAGTAAGGAGGCACATTTTATATAAGTTTAAATCCTCATATTTTGGATTAAGGATTATTCAGTTGGTCTGTGTCCAATTATTATTAATAAAACACCCTGAATATATGTAGGTGTGAGAAAAATTTGCTTATCATTCAAGGACTTATCATTTAAAAAGAAAGAAAAAAGGAACAATATACTTCTTTTAAGTACTGCACTGATTATACAGTATTTTGTCTTTTAAAATATGTTATTATTTAAACAGTTATGGAACCAAAATAAATTCGAAAAATCAAGAAAATAAATTTAATGAATACCTACCTGATTTACTAATTCCCCAATACTATAACATCGTGGTTTTAAATGTCGTTCCAAATCCTTTGAAAACCCACCTCCAGAATGGGCAATAAAATTTATCATCGCCAATGGAAATATATTGTTTTCTCTGTAATGACTGATTTTAATATCCCCTTGTCTTTTACTTAATTTAGTTCCATCTGCATTCATTAACAATGGCAAATGACCAAACAATGGAGGATTCCAATTGAATGCCCTAAAATATGTTATTTTAACATAATTAAAAAATATGTATGATCCTTCCGTTAATCCAGATAGTGATTTACAAATTTAAGAATTGTTTTAAGACATTTTTATTTTTTTATTTTATTTTTTCATTATTCTCCAGAAACATATGAAATGAAATTCAAAAAATGATGTGTAAAATTAGGAAATTATGAGAAAAATGATTCTGAATCCCTATGTTTGACTATTTTGAACCAGTTTTTATGATATCAGTCATCTATAAAACTGTAATTTAAAAAATTGTTATACATAAACAAACATAAATGCAATATAAGCATAGAATTGTGAAGTTCTAATCTCGATTCTAATTTATAATTGACATTTAATTCAAAATTTATCATGTTTATAAAGGAAATAAATATACCTGTACAAAAGAACATGTTTTATGGTTGATATTTGCCATTCAACACCTCTCAATACATGAGTTATCTTCATCAAATGATCATCAACAACATTTGCAAAATGATATGTTGGATAACCATCCGATTTAATAATGACTGGATCTCCTTCATTCAATGAAACATTGTAAGTAATATCCCCATATATTAAATCATTAAATTGTTCTTCATTTTCATTTATCTAAAATATCACCATTTACAAATATTTTTAACAACTACTTTATTGTATTACCAACTTTAAACCTTATACAAGACACTTCGCCTTTATCTAACTTAGTTTTCACTTCATCAAGAGATAATTCTCGACATCTATTGTCATATTTTGGAATTTCATGAGCTCTTAAAGCCTCCCGCCTTAAGAGCTGTAACCTCCTGTCACTACAGAAACAATGATATGCCAAACCTTTGTCTAATAAAAAATGTACATGTTCTCTACAATTGAATAACTTTAATGAATCATAAAACAATTAAGTATTTTTGTCCAAATACCTGTATACTGATAAACGACTAGACTGAATATAAGGTCCAAAGCAACCTCCTTGTGAAGGACCTTCATCGATCTCAATACCTGACCAATTCAAATCATTTTGTAACTGCTGTATTGCATCTGGCACCAACCTAGTTTGATCTGTATCCTCAATGCGCAAAATAAACTTTCCATTGTATTTCTTTGCAAATAAAAAATTATATAATGCTGTTCTTAGGCCTCCCAAATGTAAATAACCTTAAATTATATTCACTTATTATAGAGCTAAAATTATGATGGACTGTACCTGTGGGGCTAGGAGCAAACCTAACTCTTACATTGTCAGTCTTGTAAGTACGAATATTGCTATTACATTTAATACTTCTCATTAATTTTAACATTCTTATGGTTTAAACAAAATAAGAGGTTTTAAAATAAATTTCGTACAAACTACTACTAATTAAATTTACACTGTCACAATCAGTAAGTTTATAAACATAATTATATTCCTCGATATTATCTTCGTACACGAAGTAAATAATTTTAAATAAGAACAAGACCTCACTTTCTCCTTTTTAATGGGTACTTTTGTCCTAATTCTTTCAACATTTGCTTTGTGTGGCAGCCTTGTTTATGCACTGTTTTGAGGTTATTTTTCGTAATTCTGCAAAAATAAAAGAAATAATATTCAAATGGTTTCTTTTTGTTAAAAAATTGTTAGTGACTTACATACTGATTACGATGGTATGTAGAATATGAAGTTATAAAAGTATTTGTAGTTAAAAAAGATATAAAAGTAGATGGACAAACTGTCAAAATTGATCTTTTATTTTGAGATTCCTAACCTAACTTATACTTGCAAAAACTTTAATATTTGCATTTTAGCATAAACTCAAATCTTCCCAAAGAGAAAAAGTAAAAAAGTTTATATCTTTTACACAAACTGGTGAAAATACAGCCATTTATTGCCTTACTCAGAACGATTGGAAATTAGATCTTGCGAGTGACAACTACTTCCAAAATCCAGATGCATATTACAAAGAACCCAGGAGTGTAGACAAAAAGAAGCTGGAAACGTTGTACAATAGATATAAAGATCCAAATGAACCAGATAAAATCACTGTGGATGGTATTATGAAATTTTTAGATGACTTAAACTTGTCTCCAGAATCTAAGCTTGTTCTAATCATTGCGTGGAAATTTAAAGCTGCAACTCAGTGTGAGTTTACGAGAGATGAATTTATAATCGGAATGACAGAATTGGGTTGTGATAATATTGATAAATTAAAGGCACGTTTGCCGACTTTAGAAAATGAGTTGAGAGATAGTTATAAGTTTAAAGACTTCTATCAATTTACATTTAATTATGCCAAGAATCCTGGTCAAAAAGGATTGGATCTTGACATGGCTATAGCTTATTGGAATATTGTATTAAAGGGTAAATTTAAATTCTTGGACTTATGGTGTACATTCTTACAGGTAAGAAAATCCCTTTTAAAAACAAGTTATTTATTTGAAATTCATAAATAATTCTTACCAGCATAGCGCTAAGTAATTAGATATATATCTCTGTTAAAATCATGAATCATAAAGAGCCCCCATAGTCTTCTAAATTATAATTGTATATTTTTATGAAGATAAATATTTATACGCTTAATAATCTAATCTATACTGATAAAATTTGATCTATTGAGAGGCAACTATAATAAATACTAACCTGGGTGTATAAAAGAAGTAATCTGAATAACCCGTATTTACTTTATGTATTTCCTCTATGTCTCCTGTTTACAACATTTTAAAGTAATTCTGTCTTACTGATATAGTATAAAATTAAACCTAGATATTTGGCCGAACTTAAAGGAGACACTGATTCATGGCAAAATTTTTTGAAAATTATTTTTGGTTATAATCAAAATATGAATAGTTACTTACTAAAATGAATTAACTAATGCTATAATAGCATGTTAAATATTCTACAATTGTCGTTTCTAGAAATTTTCAAAATTTTTGAAATATGAATATGTACATTATTCAGTATTCATATACATTTTTTATATTTCAGGAGAACCATAAAAGATCAATTCCAAAAGATACTTGGAATTTATTATTAGATTTTGCTCAACAAATTGCCGATGACATGAGCAATTATGATGAAGAAGGAGCATGGCCTGTTTTAATTGACGACTTTGTAGAATGGGCGTCATCTAAAGCTAAAGAAAATCAGCCCCACAGTACTAGCCAACTTGATTAGCGATCTTATTTATTAACTAGTTTGTTTGAATCAAATGATGTTAAATATAATTACGTTTAATATTTTTTGGATCGGTATGAAGTCCTTAATTAAAAAATTTAATATCATTTGATTTTTGTTTTCTTCATATTTATTATAGATAATTAAAAGAAATGTATATAGATAACGATTTCCCCTTTTGAAGAAAACTCTAAGAAACACTTGTACATTTCTGATAAATAAGAATTTATGTTATTATATGTGGTTTTATTGTGTTTAATTAAGATATAGACATCTGTAAAAGGTAACAAAAATTTTATATAAAAGAATTATATTTTTTGCATAACTCAAAAATGCTCAATGAGGACATATGTAATTAATACAGCTACCTGTTTCATAAATATCTTCCTATTTTAAAATATTCTTTTAAATATTTCCATTAACCTTTTCCTTGCAATACCAATAAATTCCATGGACCCAGAGTTATTTCTCTGACGAGTCTTTTAGAAATACGTTGCACAGAATGCCATTAATTTTTCAATAGTTAGGGGTACATAATGGAAAAATTTGTTTGACTATCTTTCAATCAAATAAATATTAATTGTGCTAAAATTTTCATTAATTTTAATTTTATGCTTCTCTGCTAAGAGTACCTAACTGTATTGTAGATTTAAGACTAAACTGGGAACAGTGAACTGAGAAAACAAAAATGATGTATCAAATTCTATAAAAAAAAGGATTTCTTTAATTGCAATTAACCTTTTTTGCAACTGCCCTATGCCAGTGACTTAACAGTTTCTGCATGTAAAGGGTAGAGAAACTACTATATAGGATTGTTCCAAATCTAAAAGTCAGTATTTAAAAACTGTTTCTTGTCTAATTTTTGAAGGACTTAAAGTGCATAGAAATCATTTTAGGAAAAAATGGTTACTCTTTTATGAAAGAAACCAGCCTTGAAATGTCGCAACATCGCTATTACACTCCGTACAAACATAAGCCTAGCTTCTTTTTGTGGGACAAGGAATCTTAAATTTGTAAAGAATATAAAATTAATTAAGATGAATTAGGAAGCGATATAATTAATAAAATATTTTAAGAAAAAAACAACGAAATAGCCTTACAGAGCGAAAATAAGCGATCAAATACTGAACTTAACATGTCGGTAAAGTTTTTTAAAAAGTTCAATATTTCCACTTTTTAATTTACCGCACTAAAGTAAGTTTGGTTGCCTATAAAAACTTTGAATCTTTAGATCTATTGAAAGATGGACTGGTTTTATTCTTATCAGCTTTGTTCCTAGTGCATTAGGAACAATTTCCTAGTCAGATGCAATCGCATTTGATTCGAAACAATTGCCTAATTTTAAAGCTTACATCGGAATACATGCGTCCGACATCTGACTGTTGGAATTTTTTTTTAGGTTGCTCTAGGAACAAAGCTTTTGTTACAAAGAAACACGTGGTTTTATAAGCATCCTGTATATTTAGTGCGTGGGATGTCTCTGTCAGTATGCTAAAAACAAAATTCAAAGTTACAAGCATTTTTTTCTATTTTGAAAATGGCCAGTGAATAGGGAGTTGTCCATCTCATTTTATGGACCGCAAAATAGTCGCGAAGGATGTGTTCCAGTTGATTTAAATTTCGATGCTTCTAGTGTCTATTACACTCACATTAGACTGAATCAAATTCATTTGATCCCTGGCAAAATATTGGTGGGGAATTATGGGTATGTTTTTTTATTACGGCTTCATTTAGAATATAAATAATGTCATCATATTCAAATAGTATTTTTCAGATTTCGATTTCGGCAAAATCTTTTATTTGTGTCAATGTAAGATCTTGAATGTTTGTGTTCGGGTAGATTACCTATATCAAATATCAATAAGATGGAGGTGGTTGTAGCACTAGGTTTAGGTAGATAGCTTTGTTTCTGCAGCAGTTGACTACTGATTTGCAACTATCAAAGATATTTGACCAATTGGTTCATGACCTTAAACTCAATGAAAGTATGTGACAACTTAAAAATGACCGAGTATATCTGATAATTTGAAAACAGTTTGATAGAGCTGCAGAAACAAAACTATTATAAACTTGAATATGCTTATTTTGATATAGGTTCCTACCTATATTTTTATTTTACATTCGGGATCCGATTTCATCGGAAGAACTATTAACTCTGAAAATTTAAATATAACACCCTGTATATTTTTACACTGCTGGATAATAAACGTTTTCTTACGATTATATTGATGTACTGTGTAATGAATATATCTCTAATAACAAGAGCGATATGATCAAAAGAGTGTGCTACAAGATTAAAATGTTGCCATATTTTTTATTGAAGAATCTCCTCAAGTGCACCTGTAACGCCTTGTATATCTTGAATATATTAGAAGTTTTCATTAGCTTAAATATTTATATTTTTGATATTCCATAACGATTATAAAAAAAGACAACTGATTGGTTGAGTGAACGATAAGACTGACTCAATAATTATGACATTGAAATTGTGATCGGAAGAAATCGCACTTATTATTTATAAAATATCAGCGACTATATTTTAATCAGTAAACTGTATCTCTCACAATAAGATAAAGCTACTAAAATCATTTTTGGGAAGTTTTGTGTATTTGTAACTATGTAGGTAAATTAATAAAGTAATATTAAATAACTAGTTTATTTTATACAACATACAAAAATTTTAACCATGAAAATATTTCAACCAAAATTAATTAGGTAGTTAATTCTGATTTTTGTTTAAAATACAAAAATGATAATTCATATAGCAGAGGTTCCGAGTCGTAAAATTTTGATAAAACTTCGTTGTACCACTGGCACAATAACTTCAGTTTTGAGCGACGAGAAATTGCTATGAACGCTCCTTTCTCAGAACTGTGTTGGTGAGAATCTACCAAAGTAACCTGCAATTTAAAATATGTTAGCGATTTCACATTGAATTAATTTATATGGGTCTATATAGAGGGTGTCATGACATGTTTTGGTTAGGATTCGGTTATACACGTAAACACGCTTACAGTCCATACAATATTTGTTGAGATAGAATTCCAACAAAAAAATAAGCCAATAAAGTTCTGTTATTGAACCTACTCTAACAATTTACTGCAGCAGGGGCATGCCTTGAAATTTTCCCATGTCTTTCTACCTCGGGTGTTGAATACGGTTAATTTCAAGAAAGTGACGCATAACAGAATTGGCTGAAACTTTCCGCATTTAATAATTATTTATCTGTCTATTACAGCTTTCAAGATCCCATTACATAATACATGCATCAAAATTGGCCCACCTAGTATAGGAAATGAATGCAAATTGAAATCTGAAGATTCTTATACGGTGGTTTCTCCATATGTTCTTTTCATTGAAAATATTGCCTATTTCTGGTTCCCTTCCCTCTCGTTGTATAGTAAGTAACTGTCAATTTCCTAATTTTAAATGAAACACCCTATATATATTTGCAGATTAGGACACCCAATTTTTGTAAAAAACAAAACATGAAGTAGACTCTGTAAGTAAACTTAGCCAGACATATTTAATGCTTCAAAATTTTGACAATTGGAAGAGCAAAAATCTCCTAAGCAGATGAACACTTAATTTTTGGTAGCATGAGATGATAAGGCTGCAGACAAAATAACTGCCTGCACAAAAGTAATTCACTTTTGTGCAGGCAATATGCGAAATGTTTCATTTTTCCCGTTACATTCTCTCAATTTCAAATCACGAAAACTGTTTTAAATTCAAATTTGTTTTTTTTGCTCGAAGTTTTGTAAAATTAAACGCTCTTTTACCTTATACAGGCATTGTAACGCGTTTTCATAAAAATACTACTTCCAATTTAACTGAAAAAAAATCCAAATTATTGGCAATATAAATTTTTTAATCGAATAACCTCCGCATACAAGTTTTCAAATTTTTATTTAGATCCCTTCCTCTCTTCTAACCAAAGTCGTCGTGCCACATCCTGTATCAATTCAGGTAACAAAATGTTTCCTGACATATAATTTCTTATCTTTACTTACGGTATCTGTTTTCGTTTGAATAAGGAATAACACAGTTCTCGAATCGGCCACCAAAATAATGTACATATCCAGTTTTTCTGTTTCTGAGTTTGGTCTTACCCATTCTTTCCAGTTTTTTCTTATATTGTCAAAAAGAGACTTGTTTAACGGTTCCATATATACCTCACTTTTCTAAAAAAATTAAACTGATAGAAAGCATTGCCACCGTTTTTAAATTTATAGATATTTAAAGACTAATCATACAGATGTTTATTGAATATTGTTTCTCATTCTAATAAAAAATAATAGGGGGTCTTGTTGAATATTATTAAGAAAAGTATAGGGTTTATAGAACAGTAGGTATAAAAAAGAAAGAAAAGAAAAATAGATAAATGAACCATAAATATAGACAAACTGATCCGACATTTTCAAATAAAGTCATAAAAGGTTTATCAAACGGTATAATTCAGAAAAGTAGAAGGAACGATAAGTATATGGAGGATTTTTTTATTTTATAGAGCTGAAGAAATGGGAGGATGATTTCACTCTTGTTTCTTGTCGTCTTTTGAGTATACGTAGTTATGTATAGGGTAATCCAAAAGACATGCACGAGTAGAAAACATTGAATTAAAACTCAGGAAATAAACTGTTAGCCTAGTCTAGGCTAACAGTTTATTAAAAAACCTAACAGTTTATTAAAAAACCTAACAAACCTAACAAACCATAACAAATCTAAACTAACCTAACGAAACAGGTTAGGTTAGACTATCCTAATCTAGCCTAGCCTAACCTAACGTTCTTTTTTACGGAGGGATAAAATCCATTATGGACTCCTAAACTTAGGGTCTGTCATACCAGGAAGTGTGGGACTTCTACCGATTAAAACCTTTCTCAGATTTCCTCACACGAGATGCGGACTGTCAATAAGATATAGGTATTTCAAACCCCCAGGTACCTATTTCTGCACCATTTACGCCATCAATTTACAAATTTCTTAACTATTACCCAATTTTATTTCCTTTCGTTATGATGCCGATTATGTTTTCGGGTCTTCCTTCGGGTTTTCCCCATTTAGATTTGCATCTCGTTCGTCTTTTCGCCCTTCTTGCTCGTTCTTGGCCTTGCCAATCCTATATAAATATCGTGCACTTCAGAGATAAAATAATTTTTTTATTTTCTCTATGGTGCACATGCATCATGTCCCGTCAAACATTCTCCCTTATATGAGCGCTGCAGGTTCTTTCTTTCCAGCGCCAATGGTCCAGCTCTACGGTACTCCATATATCACTATGCAATAATATGTTTTTCTGGGCCCTTTAAGCCATATTTCTGTACCTTTCTATTCTCATTGTTCCGTACCACACTGGAGCGCCACACAAGATCGTCAAGTGTAATGACGCCCAACAATAACAGCCTAACCTAGCTTAACATAACCTAACCTAACTTACCCTGTCCTAACCAAACAAAAACTAAACAAATGTCAAAGATAGTATGAATAAAACTAATTTTTATATTAAATGAGCTTATATCAGATTGATACATATTAATTATCCAAAAATGAAGGCAATTTTCATAGTTATAGCCAATTATAGCCAACAAGACCCAAAATTGGCCCTAAAGTCAATTTTCGGAATTTTTTATAATACGTTACCCATTCAGTCATCTTGCTCGCTTGTTTTCCAGCATATTTGATAGCCTCTGGGACGTTTAAGTTGATATGCTTCAAAACATTTCTTAATTTCAATTCTTCATGTATCCTGTTTCCTTCCAACATACTTGAAGCAAGCAACTGAATCAGCCTTATATTTAAACATTTTTGTGGTCCATTTATCTTTAAAAAATCACAGTGTTCAGTGCATTATAGGAACTTATACAGGTAGCGTATATTCATTTTATATGCTTGATAGATGGATCTGGATTCTGGATACAGTTAAATCAAGATTTCAAGAATTTAAAAACAGCAATAGACACAAGACATAAAAGAAAATAGACTCATGAAAGTATATTTGTGGAAATATCAAAATAATATAGTACCCTTAAGGCGGTTTTCCACTAAACGGACAAAAAAAACAAAACACAAACTTGTGTCGAATAAAACAAAACTGTAACTTTTCGCAAATTTTTTGAAGACTGGAGTGTTTCAAAAGGTTTCGACGTGTTTTAAAACTCAAGTCTGTTTAGTGGAAACGGTCGCGTTGTGTTTTCTATTTAAGTGATCCAACCCAATATCTATGTTGGCGTTTTATTCTTCCCAAAAACAATATTTTAATCATTAATGAATTATAGCTATTAAAAAATATATATGTGTACGGTTAAAGTGTTTACTTGGCTAGGATACAAACTAACCAACTAAACACTTTAACCGTACATATACCACGAACTCCATCGATGGATATCTGGGAAACCTACCAAGCTAAAATATTTTCAAGGTCATCGTATTTCCGGTTATACCGGAAGTTGATACTAACTTTCTTATTTTAAATGGAACCCCCTGTATATTATTGCAAAAAAAGGAGGGGTTTCCACTTAAAAATTTCGAGTTTTCCACATATTCTGAACTTCAGATTCGATAAAAAAGTTTGACCACCCTGTATAAAACTGGAAAATTTTCATGTCAAATTCGATAAAGTAGGTCTTTCTCTACAAAATGTCCAATTTGCAAAAAAAAAATAAACCGGGAAAACTAAAGGACCCCGCACTTTTCTTATGTAAAAGTGGTTTCAGTTAAATTGGCACAATGTCCTAAAGTTCATAGTTTTCGAGTTACGTTGACTTTAGAGCAATAACTCTGTATTCGAATGGGTAAAAATTTTATTTGATATTTTTTGTTGTTTGCGTTTGCATTACCCAAGGTGTACCACGTGGAGGTTGCAAAAACGGTCCAACACCTCTTTGGGGTGGTCTTTTTACCGTGAGGTCCCTTTGCCTCTCACCATCGGGGTGTCTTTTTTACCGTGAGTTCCCCTTACTCACTAATCTTAATACGTCTAGATGCATGTATTTTATTTTCATGGATCCAATATCATCAATTTCTATGTTATTATATCTGTTGAGACTATCATTAATATAGTTTAATATTGCGTCACTGGGGTAATGTATATTTTGTTGATATCGCGCAAAACCCAAATACCACAACACGCTGGCTACGTGAGCACAACAACCTATTGTTCTTGCACCAGTTTTACAAATGCAATAATATCCGAGAATGCCCACACTCTCCAATACCCACAGCTCATGTTTCACTGCATTCCGGAAAAGAGAGTAAATTCTTATCCGTAGAACACCTGGTTCTAGAACATGTTCGTCGAATTGAAATACTTCTGTTCCTTCTATATCAAGCTTATCTTCAATGTAAGATGGAGCTAAACCAACCTGGTAAACACCAATGGTTATCCTATGTAAATAATCGAGGTCGAATCTAGGAAATTTTTTAACATGATTTTCATTAAGTTGGTTCCATATAACATTTCTTCTAAAGAGATTTTCGACTTCAACTCGAGTTTGAACTACGTTCACATCATTATTAATTCTTTGACGCAATTCTCTTGCTAATGGAACAGTAGCATCCTGGATTATTAACAATTCATAAAATCTATTAATTATTGCGCCAGCTATTTTGTAAAAATCTGCAAGATGGAGCATATGAGCTGTCGGAATAATACCAAAAAATTGATTTAATGTGCCCATTACGCGCCTCTACGACCCTCCTAGACTTCGTAACAATTTGCGTTTCATTGGCACTTATACCCATAATATCATAAAACAACTACAGTTTTTCAGTGTCAAGTCACATTACCGATATTAATATAAGTACAATTTATTATTTTTTCAGTTGTCATGGAGAAAAATGACATATATTACTTATGTATCTGCTAACATGAAAATTATTTAAGGTTCAAACCCAAACTGCGAGTAGTTCTTTCGACTGCAGATATCCGTTACAACTAACCTAGTTGATGGCATAAAAACTTATTGGATTTCTGTAAATTGTAATAAAAAATTAAATATTTTATTAATTATTCTTTTATGCATGCATATTATCTCCCATATTAATGCAGGCATTGATCAAATCAATATTTAGAGTTAAACTCAACCATTTTCACACGTACAAGTAGTTTTTGAGCCACGGCAAAAAAGATACTTTGGGTAATGCAAATGCAAACGGCAAAATATATCAAATAACATTTTTACCCCTTCGAATACAGTTATTGCAATATTAAACTATATTAATGATAGTCTCAACAGATATAATAACATAGAAATTGATGATATTTGATCCATGGAAATAAAATACATTCATCTAGACGTACTAAGATTAGTGAGAGGCAAGGGGAACTTACGGTAAAAAAGACACTCCGATGGTGGGAGGCAAGGGGACCTTACGGTAAAAAAGCCACCCCAAAGAGGTGTTGGACCGATTTTGCAACCTCCACGTGGTACACCTGGGTAATGCAAACGCAAACAACAAAAAATTTTTACCCCTTCGAATACAAAGTTATTGCTCTAAAGTCAACGTAACTCGAAAACTATGAATTTTAGGACATTGTGCCAAGGGAGACTTTTGATCGACAGGTTAAGAGCTGCAACATATAAAAATTTCAGCCAATTTAACTGAAACCACTTTTACATAAGAAAAGTGCGGGGTCCTTTTGCTGACAGTCTGCATCTGTCAATTTTTGTTTAAAAATCGAAATATCTCGGAAACGGTCAATCCTAAGTATGGAGTGTGCTATATGTTTTCAACTTAAAAATGGATGATGTTTCCAAAAATGCAATAATATACAGGAGTTCCAATTAAAATAAGAAAGTTAGTACGATGACCTTGAAAATATTTTAACTTGGTGGGCCCCACGGTCCGTACCACACCATTAGAATTTCAAAAAATCCTTAGAGCGGTTTCCCAGATATCCATCGATGGAGTTCGAGGTCTACTCTGTAGACACACTTTTTTTCCAAGGACTTCAGTATAAACCAGCCATAACTAAGAATAAAAAAATCTTCTCTAAAGATGTTGGCTGGTTATTAGAAAAATGTGTTCTAACTTCCTCGCGACAACCAGTGGAAAAGGACTGAAAACAAAAACAAAACTCGAACAAAATGTAGCCCGCTTGATGGAAACAAGAGTTTTGGGTTTGTTTCAGTTTTGTGTTTGTTTTGTTCTAGAAAACACAAACAGGACATAAACTCAACTGTCCGTTTAGTGGAAAACCGCCATTAGATTATACTCTTATTATAATATTATTCTTAAACTAGTTCTAGATACCAAGTTCACACACACAAAATAATACATAAGTGCGACTGTTCGTTTTTACACAAAATATTATTTTCTTGCATAAAATATAGACAATCTACAATGTTATGTAATTACCAACATAATACCACAGCTCATAATACTTTCTTATCCTATATTGATGTGAATGTGTCATAATTTTAATGATCTTGTTATTATAGAGGGTTTTTCCCATAACAATCTACCGCCCTTATCTTTATTGCTTTCATATTTAGAAAAAAATTTTGTAGATTTCAGAACTGTACTGAGGAAAACAATTCAATGTTATATTTTGGATATATTTATTAAACATTGTGTTTTCTGCAAATAGAATATACCGTACATAGGTACTTATTTGGATATAACACTTTCTTAGACCTATCTCTAATAAGGAAGTTATGATATGAAAGACTATGTAAAACGTACAGGTGGTCTGCCAGAAATATATATACAAGGTATTTCAGAAAACATTTTGTTGAAACCACTGACAAAATTGCGTAGCTCGAGGTAATAATTCTTGAACTCGAGTAAAATGAAATGGGTACATTTGGTGCTCATGGAGTGTCCTTACAACAAATGCAGGTGATATGCCGATCTCGTTAGCGATGGTTCTTGTACTAGCCGTTGGTTCGTTTTCAACCCTATTCAAAATAAATTCCTCGACTTCCGGACGTCGCCGATGCATTTTGTCTGCCGGCATTGGCATTACTTACTTTCAAACTTACCCGATCACGCAATAGCCTAACAATATTCTCAAAAAATTTTTTGTCGGGCACTCTTCTTAAGGAAACTTATCTAAATACAATCTTCTCGCGGCATTCGAATTTTGTCTAGCTTCACCATAACAAAACAGCATGTCAGTAAGTTCAATGAAGGAATACCTGACGTTCGGCATTTTTACATGCACATTTAAATCGTGAATTTATAATAATCAATACTAATTTACTAATTATGATTCAGAGACATTAGTTGACAAGACTGTATCGTATACATTTGACGTTTCTGTCTTTCATGTCGCCACTATGTTGATTATTACAATATTAATTTCCGAGCACATTTAAATTAGAAATCTCAAAGGGGAACCATTTTTTTCTTTGATTAAATCCATAGGCTTGCAAGTAAGTCCGATCCTGTAATTCATTTTCGACATAATACCTAGGGATGTGTATTCGGTTGTAAATAGTTAGTTCTCTAAATTTCATTTAATTCCCTCAAGTGGAAATCTAGATTTTTGGAAAAAATATATTTTATTTTAAAACTTTGACACCCTGTAGCTAAGGAACGAAGCGAATCGGACCCATGTTGATAAGAAAAAATAATCTTGTTTTTAGGTTAGGAATCTGCACCCGAGCGTTGGCCCATGTTTTCTGAAACACCCTGTATAAGTTTAACTTGTTCTCCAATAAGCAAGTTTTGAGATCAGAACGTTTCCTACAACTTTGTCCCATGCCATTATCTTGTATTTTTTTTTAATTTGTACGTATGTAGATATTTTCATTATAAGGAATCATCATTTTCTATAACATTCGATATGTTTGCCCAGAATATAACTAGATGTTCAGAATTGCTGTGTCTATATAAACAGCCGATCTAAAATTAGTATAAGAAAAACTGTGAGAAATATATTGTAAAAATTGAAAAAAAATCTGAGCAAAGAAGACAGCATTCGATAGACTAAAATTGAATACTTTCAGAAAATTGGAACATAATATATGAAAATAAACGGTCTAAAGATTTTCTGGAAAAAAAATATAATTGCAGTATTTTATTAACTGTTGAGAGTTTCTACAAGGAAAGTTCAACGTATGTACTTGCTAAGGAAGCAAGTGTAAATATGATTGTATTGTTAGTATTATATTAATATTCTAACTTTTAAATGACTCATAAGCCTCTTTCAAGTTAACCCTAACATAAATAAGAAAACCCAATTAGAAATATGTAAAACTGCACTTACGACAACTTTGTATTGGTTACATTTAGAGGCCATTAAAACCGCAATCAATGTACAAGCATTGCTTCCTTTACTGGTGTTGTGGACATTGTAATGGGACTGGGAGAAATGGGATTCAAACCATGTAACTCGTATTTTTTCGTCGAATACGTATTCTATGTCATATTTCGGAAAAAATGGTAAATCAATGCTGTCGGATACCATATTACATGTTATTTAAATTTTGACAAATATTTTCACGCTGACATATAAGTAACATTTGCAACCCATAATCGAAAACTGAAAGGACTTAAATGAAAGTGCCTTATAAGGTTAACTTCACATTACATAATTCACAATTTTTTGATAAAAGTCGAAAATATATTACAGGTAGCCAATGCCAACATGAAAAAGGGACATTCTTCTAGAGCTCAATTTTGAATTTTAAATGAGACTTCTAAGAGTCTAACAGAACAGTAACTATGTTACGTTTATTCATTGACGTTTTATTTAAAATTTGAAGGTTTTCACATGTTTAAAGTTTATTAGACATTTGCAATTCAAGACGGTTTGTGTTCTACATCTGCATACGGATATGAGTCATGACTTTCCTTGATACAAACTGTTTCAAGATTTTATTCAAAAACAGTACATTGCCGCAAGATTTCCCTCTCCATTAAAACAGCGATAAAGACAAACATCTCTCTCCTCTATGCAGAAGTATTTAATAAGAACACAGAACTAATATACAGGGAGTCTCATAATTAATGTCTAATAAATTTACCACTTGATTCAATTGACAAAAATAAGAATATTTTTTTCATATAAACATGGGTCGAGAAATGCTTTCTAAGAGAGCTACGCCCCCTTAAATGGGGCCACAAAAAATTAATTTTTTTTTAATATTTCCGAAATGAGTTGAAGAAAAATTATGAATTTTCACATCGTGAACGCTCATTAAAAGTCGAAATAGTTCATCATAAAATTTTTCAAAAATTTTAGTCAGGTGCGTCTCAATTTGGGGGGGAGGTCGTCGGCTAAAATTTGCCCCAATTTTTTTGCTTGTCGAAATTTTCCAATTCAGATACCAACAGATGATAGACCCTCATTTCCTCTACAAAAAAGGTACTCTTTATTTCTTTCGATAAAATGCTCCATTTACGAAATAAACGGATCTATATCAATTAATAAAATTCAAATAAAGCTTCTTGAATAGTTAAAATGGGTACATGTACCATTATGAATTTTGATATGTCATCATATTATGTACATTGTAATAAACAACATGAAAAGTTCTTAGAAAAGTTTGTTATGGGCGTCCTAAACAGGGGGCTCGGGTAAATTTTTTTTTACATGTTGCTATTTCCAAATTTAAACGGTAAAATTTGATATATCTGAGTTTTCTAGTAAAAATGGTAATATTTTATATCCAAAAAGTAATCCGCTTTTGAGAAAAATCGGTTTAAATATGTTGTAACACTTTCCAAAGTGTGCTTTTCTAAGCATTTAAATCCGTTTTTCTTGGAAATAGAGCATTTTATCGAAAGAAATAAAGAGTACCTTTTTTGTAGAGGAAATAAAGGTCTATCATATGTTGTCCTCTGAATTTGAAAATTTCGACATGCAAAAAAATGGGGGCAAATATTAGCCAACGACCCGCCCAATTGAGACGCCCCTGTCCAAAATTTTTGAAAAATTTTATGATGATCTATTTCAACTTTTAATGAGCATTCATGGTATCAAAATTCATAATTTTCCTTCAACCCATTTCGGAAATATTAACAAAAAAAATTATTTTTTGAGGCCCCATTTAGGGGGGCGTAGCTCCCTTAGAAAGCCATGTTTGTATGAAAAAATATTCTTATTTTTGGCAATAGAATCAAGTGGTAAATTATTGAACACTAATTATGAGACACCCTGTATAAATGTCTTTAAAAAATATTTGCTTTATACAATACGGCTGTTCTACAAGCTCTATGACAAACTTTGACAGACGTTGGCAGCGTTAGTTTCAAACATTTTTTTCTTTTATAAACATAGGTCCGATTCGTTTTTGTTTAGAAGTTATAAGCATTTTAAATGTAATTTCATATTTCAATCGAAGTAGCCTGATAAATAAAATTGAAGATTGCTATAACTATAATTATTATTTGTGTTTATGGTTTAAACATTAGTTAACCTTTATTAACCAAATTAACAAATCTTAAGACTATACAAATTACTCAAAATGTCTATCCTCCGCTCGAATGCAAGCCTCACATCGGTGAAGTAAAGATTCCATCACTCGACGGATGAGATTTAGATCATTTCTTACCGGTTAGCTCTATCCTTAATTCTTTCAAGTAACTGCTGACGAGTAGTGATTTCAACGTGGTAGATAAGCTACTTGATATGCCTCCATAAATAAAAGTCCAAAGGAATTAAATCTGGGGAACGCGCTGGCCATGCTATTGGACCTTGTTGATCAATCCATTTATTCGGGAAATGATCATCTAACCAACCAGTTACTTGTCTCCTTCTGTGGTGGTGTACCATCGTGCCGATACCATATATTTTAAAAAATATTAAACTCTACGTCATCAATGAAATCAATACTATTGTTTGATTGAGACTTTGTTGTTGATTGTTATTGTACAGATCTGCATTTAAACGATCATTCAAAATATGTACAGGCAGTAAATTATTGTTGAAAATGCTACCCCAAACATTGACACTAAAACGTTGCTGAAATTGTCCTGATCTAATTGCATGCGGATTTTGTAACGCCCAGATATGTTAATTATGATTATTATTTATGCCGTCCTGTAAAACACGCTTCATCGGATCATATGACAAGCGAAATGAATCTTACCATTTTGTGCATGTTGTTGAAGTAACCAGCGACAAAATTTTAATCGCTGGGCAGCATCTCCAGCATATAACATTTGTACATTTTGGCAATGAAACGGATGTAACATTACACGCCATACAAAATACGGTGATGAAGATTACTTGCTATACCTACGCCGAACACTAATTGAAGAGTTGTCAATGACATCTGTTATAACTTCTTCATTTTGTGCATTCACTTCAGCAGGATGAATGGTATTTTTTGGAACGGGGTCGGGGTTACCTCCTTCTCGAAGTCTATGAAATGATGCGCTAAAGACGATGTATATTTGGGTGTCTTCGTCGATATTCTCGGACTCTTTGTCTGGCGTTCCCATTACTGTACATATTTTTTTTTTATTAAATTGTCAGAGAAATTTTAAATTTTATCAATAACATATCATTCCAAGCATACTACTTTATCTGTATTTCTGTTGTACATACTAAATTCTAATGAATTTAATCATGTGTATATTTTTGCATGTGATTGATAACAACAGTTCACAGAAAACTCTATCGTCTTAAGGCTATCGCAGTTGACCATGGTGTAACATTTGTTTACAAGCAAGACAACAAATAATATTGTGTTTATTACCATTACACAAATAATTGGATTACTTAAAAGCATATCATAATAAAATATAAATAATGTAATGTTGTACCTAATTAAATATGTTTACTACCAACGCTATAGGTCATCGGGCTACAAAAAATAGCATGAACAGCATTTTGAAAAGTATATTATCATCAACCCGTATGCAATATAGAACTTATCTGTACAGAATATAAAATTATTTCCTTCTCTTCTTTTTAGATGTTATTTCAGAAAAGTGATTTTTATATTTTGAAAGTCCTAAATCCACATCGATTCCTAAATGTTTTTTATATTTTTAAAAGTTAAAGGGAACAGTTGATGTAATTGAATTTTGTAAGTAGTTATAATTACAAAAGCGAATAATCTCCTCAAAGCCGTTGCTGACTTTTATCGGTCAGTGATATCATTGTTAATTAATATAAAAATTTCAATAAATACACAAATTTACAAAATAAATTCGAATTTAAAAATTTCTCCTAAAAAATTAACACTCTTGAGATATTAAGGGATACTCAGCCCCTAAAGCTGCCATACAAAAGCCCTCCAAGGAGACAAAATTGAAATCAAGTTCTAAATAAACTTAACTCCTTAAAGCTTCCGTCCAAACTTCTAAAGCTTCTTATATGGATATTCTAAAGAGGCCACACACATATTAACTTTAGTGCCCTAGCCCAGCACTCAAATACAATGATATAGGAAAAGTAGAGTGCTCACATAATACAAATGCGCAGTGAAAAAGAAGGTTAATTCGAACACCTCCCACAAACAAACAAGAAACACAAAAAAAGCAAACTAAAGTAGGTATTTCGCAGCGTATGTGCGACTTTAGGTACAAAAGAGAGCGTGGACCATTATCCCAAGGCCAAGCTATCTCGTCATCAATGGAGGAAGTGCTACAACATCAACGTCATCTATCACAAGTGTCCATTGAGGTTGACGTCAAGAGGGAGACGCCCGAGTATCCTGGAAATCCCTTTACAGGCGAACAGGCGACTACCTCCCAGCACCACAGGTAAAAATGAAGCCTCAGGAAACGTTATTCAGTCCGATTTCAATATGAGGGTGTATGATCCCCTCAATATGCTTAATATACAGCGTGTCCCACTAGTGCGGGAAAGTCCAATATCTATGTTAAAAAGAGGAATATAATGTATTTTTCTTTTTACTGTGTTGCCACATTTCTCGGGATGTACAAATTAAAAATATATTCAACTATACAGGGTGTTCCACTTTTCTTGGCCAGACACCAACTTTGTTTTTTTAAATGGAAACACACATTTTTTATATTTTTTTCGGATTCTACATCAAAAATATAGGGTATTTAGCGTAGAATAGTTCTATTCAAATATTCACAGTTTTTGAGATATCTCGCTTGAAAGGTTTTTCTAGTCGATATTGGTTGCTTACATTTTCTGATACTGACAGGTTATACTAATAGCTACTAAGCCCATTTTTTTTATCAGATTTTTAGTAAGGATGACTCTTCCGAATCATGCTCCAAAAACTGGCCTGCGTTATACAGGGTGGCCAAAATATCACGTCAAAATTGCCCATTGAAAAATTGAAAAATCTCGAATTTTTTTAATACAACACCCTGTATATTTTCATACCATGAGATGGAGAATTAAATTCTCTACAACTTTGCTATACCGCTCCCATACCAAAATCCATTAGTTTTTCATGAAATTTCATTTTTATGAAAAATGCGAAATTTACAAATAGCTTATATGTAAAATAACGTAGTACGCTCCTGTCAAAGGAT